ATCACAGAAAAGGATGGGCCCTGGGGTGGGGGACCCACAGTGATGCCTCCCCCACTGCCCTTGCTGTAGTGATTATGTCCGCAGGCTGGGAGAGCGGAGTTGGCAGCTCCTGCTCTCCAGACCCGGCTGTGAAAGGACGGGGGCGCCACCCAAGTGGCAGATGTTCGAAGGCCCAGGAGCCTCCCGGCGCGGGCCGTGGCGGGGAGACAGGTGGTCCGAGAGGTCTGAGACGCGCCGAGCCTGGAGCCTGCGCAATCTGAGCAAACACTGGCGGCGGGGGCGCAACACACGTGCGAGCTTCGAGCTCCCCGGCAGCCCCCTGCGCCCTCCCAGGCCGCCCGCTGACACGGCGATCCCTCCATCCGAGCATCACACACACACGTGCTTCCGCCAGCAGGAGCCGAGGAGAAGGCGGCGTCCGTTGGGAAGGAGCAAAGGGACAAACACCCCACCCCCGCCTGCGCGCACACACGGGCGGAAACTGAAACGTCACCCGAGGGACCCCGGCGGGTCAAGGTCCACGGCGCGCGCAGAGCCTGCGCGCAGGGCAAGCCCCCCGCCGCCGAGCGGCTCGCCGGGGGGCCAGGCCCTGCCACCGCCGAGGCACCGGCACGTTCTCCAGCGAGGCCGGCCCATCCAGAGCCCAGGTGGCACGTCCCTGGCTCCCCTCGACCCAGGTCTGCGCTGCGGAGCAGACTCGGATGGGCTCATCCAGCGCCTGGATCTCTGTTCCCGCTCAGCTCCCGCCAGGACAGCCCCGAACCGAGGCACAGAAGATGCACCCGCCTAGAGGCACGAGCTGCAGTCTCTTTGTCCGGCCCGTGGGCTGCGCCCGCGCGCGGACAGAACCCCAGAAGGGAGCCCCGATTCGCGGCTGCCGGTGGCTCCGGGCGCCCCTCCGCTCCTCCACACCGGGAGCGCCCCCGCGGCGGGGCAAGGGAGCGGCTCGGGGCGCTTACCTCTCGGTCCCAAAGTGCCCGGACGGCTTCCTCCCGGTGTAGCCGCGGGCTGGGGCCCCCGGCAGCAGGAGTGCGACGCAGGCGGCCCGGAGGAACAGTCCGGCCCACATGACCGACGGTGGTGCGTCCCCCGGGCTCGGCTGGGCTCCGGCGCCGCGCGGGGGAGGGGGCTACCGGCCCTCGCCCCTCCTCCTGGCGCTGCGGGGAGCGAACCAGCGAGCCCCGAGCTGGCACGCGGAGCCGAGCAGGGGGGCTGGGGACGCCGAGAGGAGGGGCCGGGGGCCGCGCACGGCTGGGGGGTCTCTAGCACCTCGGAGCAGAACACACAAAAGGCAGCGCCTCCCTCCCGCCGGTGGCCTCCTGGGGAGGCACAGAGCCCCAGGCGGGGTCAAAGATCAGGGACCCCAGGGGGCGGGGTTTAGCCCTTGGCCCACACCCCCTGCCCGGGTTTGGGAGTCGGCTTCCTGAGAAGGGCTGTGGGCGTCAGACTGAGGCCCGGGGAGGGAAGAGACTTTGGGAACGAGGCTGGCGCTGGAGGTTGCGCGTCCCAAGCATTGGCGGTCTCGGTGGAGCCCAAGATGCCTGTGTCGTCACAAGGTGGGAAGTGAGAAATCCGTACCCAGGACTCGGGCCCTTTCACTGCTGGGCATTCTGAGCTGGCCCCAGCCTGCCAGCAGGTCTACAGCCTAACCTGGGCGCGCGGGTCAGTAGGTCCACCTGCTCCCTGGTCAGGGGAAACTAGCGGGGCTTGAACCCCCAGGCTCCTCTTTGCCCCCTGCTGAAGCTGCCCCAGGCCAGTCAGAGTGGTGGGCAGGGAAGCTGTGAGCAGGTGGCGGGTGGTCAGATCATCCAGTCGGGAGAAAGCTGAAAGGATTCTACTTCTGCTCTGTGTGGGAGTCTCCCCAGCCACCCGAACCCACTTAGTCAAGCTTTGCTTAAACATCTCTAGGGATAAGGAACTCACTACCTGTAAAAAGTGAAGCCAATCCAGTTTTGAATAACTGCCTCTATTAGGAGGTGTTTTTACTTCCCACCTAAATAACCCATTCCTTTGGTCCTGCCTCTACAGCTGCCTGCCCACTGCCTACCTCTGCCTGTCACTGAGGTCCTTACCATTGGTGGCCACAAATGAACATGGTGTGCCGACAGCAGCTGGGATTCTTGCATTCTTCTTTTCAGACACCATATTATTAACACATCCTAATATTACTTAGCATTTGGGGCAACCCCGTGATGCTATTAGTTCATAACACAGAGTTTACAATAAAGGAAAACCTCAGGTGTTTTTGTTTTCGTTTTTAGGTTGTTTATTAAACACAAGCTGCTAAGCCGATCTCCTTATCTGAACCTATGTGGTTGAATTTTTGCAGATGATGAAATTTAGGCTGGTTATCCCACCTTGTGACTTTTGATCCATCTTCTCAGCTCAGCAACAAATTCTCAGAAAGGTTACGAAAATATTGTGTATCCTAAGTTGAGTGCAGCTTCCATATTTACGTCTATTCTGAGTCCTAAGGACCCTCAGCTTCTCAGCATCTTTCCTTTGTGCCTCAACCGCCTGAAGGTATACTTCCTCCCTCCACCGCTCACACTGCATTCCTCCCCACCACTCCAAAGTGCTTCAGTGTCCACCTTCAATGACCACAGTCACAAATATAGCTCTGAATTATTCAAGAATAATGATAAACATATAAAGCCCTTCTCTCACTCGAGCTCACAAAATCTATCACAATACTGCCCTTATCATTCCTACCTAGACCACCGCCCAATGTCAAATAGGTACTCCATCCTGGCCCCAGAAGCTACCCACAAATTCTCACACTTATACAGGACATTTCCTTTTACACACCTGCTGCTTCTTGTGCCAGTCCCTCCCACTCCAGCACACCTGAGCTCTACTGCTTCATGTGGACCCGCCCCTACACCCCAGCCCTTAACCGGACAGGGTCAGCCCCCTTAAGGGTCAGTGATTAGCTGAGATGCAACCTTGTGCTTAAAGATGGTCCTCAACCACCCTCAGGAGGAGCTCAGGGTATTTGAGATGTAAATTCCTACTGGAGCATCTTATTATCTTTTAAATATTCTTCAAAAATTTTTTGTATTGATTTGAGAGGGAGAGAGGAGAGGGAAACATTGATGAGAGAGAACATCAATTGACTGCCTCCTGCATGCCCCCACTGGGGTTTTGGCCCACAACTGGGCATGTGCCTGGACCATCGGGCCCTATGGCCCTACTGGCGCATTTTAAAGGAAACAACTTTCTAAACAGCCCCTGGCATTTTTCACTTTCCCACCTTTGACCTCATAGTATTCATCTTGCTCCTTATCAAGTTTGCTTTTCTCTTTTTTCCTTTTCTTGTCCTTTGGTTTGTTTGAGCGGAGGAGGTGCTGAGAGTCTCTAACTAGTCTTCAAGGACTAGTTTGGGCATATCCCTGTTACAGTTCTTCAGTGTTTCCTCCCCACTTCTGTGGCTTGTGGCTTCTGAGTAACAAAAGGGACCCTCCACCGAGGGTGGAGGATCCAAGTTGTTGTTGGCTGCAGAAAAGCCTCTGGCTTGTGACCCTTCCAAACAGTGATGTGATGAGGGTGATGTGATGAGTCAGTGTTTCTGTTACGCTCCCAAAGGTCCGCTGGAGCAGAGGCCTGGAGTGAGGCTAGCTCATCAGCGCCTGCAGGGAAGCAGCCATTCCAGCTGGCTGTAGCAGAGCTCACAGGCAACCTTTCACCCCTGGAGTGGTGACGAATGGTTTGCACGGAGACGGGGGAGGTGAAAGTGTGGCAGCAGAATGTCAGGTTTCCAAAAGGTTGCTGGAATTCAGTTCTGAATGAATATACCCAAGACTGCATTGCAGGAAACAAAGCTGTGAGGACTCTGCAGCTTCCGAAGTCCAGACTGAAGCTAACAGGCAGTCACCTTCTCAGTGCGGCAGGTCTCCCTGGCTGCAGGTCTCCCCACCAGAACACACCACCCTACACTGTGTCTTCCTGAGCCTGGCACCTTACAGTCCTTCCTCTACCTAGGATTACATTTCTAAAGCAATCCCAACCTGGAGACCGCTGCTTCTGCCTCATCAAAGCTAGTCGCGGGCATGGGGGCAGGCCTTTTCAATTCAAACCGTGACTTGAAGAATTCAAATCACAGTGTTGAGTTTCAAGTTCAAACTGTGGTTTTTGAGAGATGCTTTTTCTTTTTTCCCTTGAAGACCCTTGCTCCCCACCCTCGGAAAGCCCAGCAAAGGGGAAAAAACAGCAATGAAACACAAGGACTGCTCCAGGGAAGGAACTCACTCCAGAAGACCCCCAAAGCAGAGATGCTTCCTTGCCCTCTTCCTTTGAAGATAGAATCTCTCTCAAAACCACAGTTTGAACTTGAAACCACAACTTTCCTGACACTGTATCAAAGGCTGGTCTTAAAGGAGCCGGCCAATATGCCTAGGATCAACCCGACTCCACTGTTGGGACAGAGAAGCCTTTATTCCCACTGGGTCACTGGTGGAAACGTGGGCCCAGACACTGACCCACTGAGCTGAAAGAAGACAGGCTCTGTTAGCTAGACAGAAAGGTGAACCCCCAAATGCGCCCTACTCTTGTATTTTCAAACCAAAGGCACCAGAGGTTTACTCGACTAAACCCAGAGAGCATAAAAGTGGAATCCAAAGGGCATTTGTTGACGGGAAGCTGGGAGGTGCATGAGGAGCAGGGTCTGGGGGCTTGCTGGTGGGAGACTGCACCGGGCTGCAGAATGACAGCCGGGAAAGGCAGCCCAAGTGACTCCCAGGCCCAAGTTACTAACAGAGGCAACTGGGAACCAAATGGTGACCAAAGGCAAGCAAAGACCATGGAATTTCAAAATCCTGGTGCCCATCACCTTAGGCTCTCACAAATACAGACGTCATCTTACTACTGCTGTTCCAGCAGCAATGACAAGTGACTGCAGCAGCTGCCATCAATGTGGGAAAAGAATCTGCGGGAATCTGGACACAGTACGACCAGGATGCTGGAGTGCCGGCAGCGAGAAGAAAAGCAGAAACAAATGGATCTTTCTTCTTAGAGTCTACTTTATTTGGTAAAACTCAGAAACTAACCACCAATTCACGTCCACCCACCTTCTTCTCTCTGAAGAAGGCAGTTCCCCAGAGACAAAAAGGCTGTGGCGTGGGGGTCATCCACCATCTCCAGGTTCTATATTCAGGCAGCCTATGGCCTGGTGGTCAGGTCTCCAGACCCAAAGCTCTCAGAGGCAACAGAAGTCAAAGGAAGCTCTCACTTCAAAGACAATAAACCCTTCCCGCCCCTCTTCCCTTCTCTCCACAACCTCCCCACACCCCCAAACTAAATAAAAAGATAGCAGAGGACAACACGTGTCTCACACACACACACACACACACACACACTCACACACACACACAGCTTCCTTTCAGCCAAAGAGCTGCAAAATCCCTCCCTGGAAGGACAACCTGCAACACCAATCAAGGCTTGGTGGCCCACGGTGATGGCTGGAATCATGTGCGACTGGTAAAAATCCAGGGAGAAAATTATTTCACCTTCAGCCCATTCCCAGGTGTCCAGTGAACTGGTTTTAGTTCTAAGAAATCTCCATTTCCACACAGGTGACTGTGGCTTCTGGGGCAGCTGGCTTAGGGAAAGGTTCCCCATGGCCAAGAAGACAGTGGTGGGGGAGGGGAAGCAAGAGGGCAAAGCCTTCCAAGAGGGTCTCGGAAAGGGAATCCCCGCCGTTGGCTAATGGATCCGCGTCAGCTCCTCCACAACCTTGATCAGGTCGTCTGCAGTGGCCTCTCGCTTCATTCCGCTGCCATCGTCATACTGCAGCAAGAACAGGAGGGAAGGTGTGAGGGCCAAGAGTGTGCTCTCCCTCCCCTGGGAAAGGGGATGCCACAGCAGGGAGGAAGCCCACACCTCTCCTATGGGGTACAGGTCAGCAAGGATCAGAGCTGTCGCCTGGAGGACATTTCTCTCTTCCAGGATGGTCCCCAGATGCACCATCTCCAGTGAGCAACACCCCAAACTCCAGCACTATGGAAACTTCTCTTCCCTGTGGCCCTCCCTCCCTCCTGTGGGTCTGCCAGAATTCCCAGACATGCCCCAATGTGCCCTCGTTGCTCAGGTACAGGGGTCACGTGGGTCAAGTAGCTAGTACAGTGCCAGGCAGCTGATGACTACCCGAGCTGAGCCTTGGATCCACCTTCTCACCCTCAGGTTGCACCTTCCCATGCAGCAGAACACATAAAAGGGGCCACTGGTCTCTGGGAAGCGAGGAGAGGAGGCACCCAGAGTCCTGATGGTCTCCTGGCGTGCCTGGCCCTGTGACGGACTTGTGTAACTGGCCTAGGGCTGAAACCGCACAGCTCACCTGAAGGTTTGCCACGACCTCCTGCATCTTGGGCCGGCTGATATCCAGGAAACTCTCAATCAAGTCTCCGTCGATGAAGCCAGTGGCCGGTTCTGTCTTGCGCTCAGTATGAAAGGATCTCCAGGTGGACAGATGAGTTAAGGAATGTGCAATTATTTGGAAATACTGTTACTTTCAGTCCTCACCTCTACTCAAGACCACAATCTGAATTAATCAGCATGAGAATAGGAAACAGATTCAACTAAATACCTCATCATTTTTTGGAGTTTTGGACTGAAAGACACATAAAATTAATACTGCTCCAACAGTTCTCAACTGCAATGTTCTTCAAAATAACGTTTTTCAAAGTACAGATCAGACTTCAGTGTAGAGCCTGGAGCTGTGTGGATGTTCACAAGTGTTCTAGGTGAAAAAACTGGATGTGCAGGCCTGGAAAGAACCCCTCTTCCAAGTTTAGCCTCAGTCTTCGAGGCTGTGAGACCAGCAGCATGCCAGAAGTCCTGCTGGTTAGCAAACCACCTACATCAGCCCATCTCCTCCCTCCCTGGCTACAGGGAGCCCATACTGCCTTGTAACAGCATGACCAACGTCAGACTCGCAGCAGGAGCCCTTCCCACCTCCTGCCTGGGCCGCCCTTTCAATTTCCCAGAATAATAAACAAACTTCCACTATTGGAATCCTGGGTGTCCCTGGGAGGGCTGATCCTTGGGCTTCTAGAGTTTCTAGCTTTACTTTCCCCAGCTCCTGCTAGCCTCTCTAGCGAGGCCAACAAAATCTCTGAAAGGATGTCCCTATGTTGTCATCTGAACTAACTGATGTGCAATGCCAGGAAAGCCGGAGGCAGACACATTTCAGGGACCTAAATGTACATTTCCAAGATGGACCAGTTGACGCTGGGTGATGAGTACATGGGGGGTTCATTATAGTCTTCTCTCTATGACTGTGTGTGTGAATTTTTCCGTAAGTTAAAAAAAAAAGTCTTGCCCTGGCCGGTTTGGCTCAGCGGTTGGAGTGTTGGCCTACAGACCAGAGTCCCAGGTTTGGTTCCCGCTGGGGGCACATACCAAAAAAAAAAAAAAAAAAAAGTCTGGTTCCCATAGGAACCTAGTCAGGTTTCTTGGACAGCAGTTTCCAGAAGCAGCTTGGGGTCTGCAGCTCTCCCTGTGTCAGGGCATGCTACCCAGCAGGGGGACGCCTCTGGGAAGGATATAAGGAGTGCTCAATCTTGCCCACACTTTTGATGACTTTATTGAGTCGATTCTGCATGTCCAACAGGAGGTTGTACCAGCTCTCTGACAGTGAGGTCACCAGCCCTGAAGCAGCAAAGGGAGCAGTGAGTTGCAGAGCGGGAGCCCACAGCGAGTGTTTCCCACCAAGGGCAGCCCAGGAGAGCAGCACGAGGAGCCAGCTCGCTGCAGCCTCCTCTGCAAACGTCCAGCTCCATGCTCTTCCCCAGAACGGCGACCTCAGGGCGGCTGTGTGGGAGCGCGCCCAGCAGGGATGACCCTTACCGATCATGCCGTTGACTGTGCCAAAGAGCACCGAGCCCTGCGTGGGGGTGGATGTCTCGCCCAGATTCTGCATGACCAGAGAGCCGTGGCAAAAGACGTTGACGAATTCGCCCAGGTGGAAGAGACCAACCTCCTGAAGGTGTTGCCGCTCCTCATCAGTGGTGGCAGCGCTGAAAGGCAGTGTGACAACTCACTACGCGAACCCCCTGCCCCACGGGGACCACATGCTGTGGACACCATGTGCTGAGCTTCCCTGGTGATCCCACGCCTCCCACAGTAGAGGAGCTGGTCTGCAGAGGAGAGCCTGAGCGGAGACCAGTGTCCTCACCACCAGACCCAGGCGGCAGCCCCTCCCTCCACTCCCACAGCTGGCCCCGCACCTGTCCTTCTGACACACAAACAGGTTAAAGGCATTTTCAGCTCCCAGGAAATTGTCATCGTCCAAGATTTCCACAGCACTCATCCAGTTGGGGTTGAAGTCCCGAGCAATCTAAAACCACCCAGGTGCAAACGAGGAAACAGTCAGCAGTGTGCATGGGCCCAGCTCTGGGCCTGCCTTCTCTCAGCCAGAAACCTGGAGCCTGCCTGAGAAGACCCAGCCCCGGGTTTAACAACTGCCACTAAGAGCTTCTCCCCCAGTCTCTGGCCAACACAGCCCATTTGGTTGCAATTACCCAGAAATGGTGCCTGCTCAGAGTTCAAGATGGGGTCTGTAAAAATACCGATCGATGCAGAATGTGTGCTCCAGGGAAACCGTTTCCGCCCCTGCTGGGCCTGACTGTCCCTCACCACCAGAGAAACACAGGCAGGGGTCCCGGCTTGAGCGAGAAGCCTGCCCCACCCCCTCTACCTCTTCAAAGTTGCCCTCCATGGGCTTGTAGGCGAGCAGCAGCACGGAGCGCATGAGGTCGCCCACCAGGATGAAGTCGCCCTTGGTCTTCAGGTAGAGGGCCATGATGTTGTTGTAGTGGTTGCACTCAGTGCGAAGCTCCTTCTCTGTTGTCCACTCGTACAGCCGCACCTGGGAAGGGCATTGCGTTTCTCTCGACCTGAGGGGCCCGAATCCTCTCAAAACGACGGTCTTACCCAGCCCTTGGTCCTCAGATCTCCCTCTGTAGCACCAGTTACCAAGTGCATGTGGGCTGGGAAACAGTCTGACGAGGTACGTGCATGATCTTTTCAGTGTTTATGTTTATGAACTATGAAAACAGAGTGAGCACATCAAACTAGTAATACAAAGTTTTCTTTTATATTAAAAGGTGAGTGTAAAGACAAACACTAAGTCAACAGTAATGCCAGTACTACTATGAAGATGACAAAAGATGGTGTCTGGTGACTGAAGTTTGGTGGCAGATCTATAGGATAGCTCTAGAAAGAAGATCCATCTCCAGTTTCCTGACCAGAAAAAACCTAAGTTGCTTCCCCAAAAGCGCCTGTTACAAACCCTTCTCTAATGTGTTCATTCCTGGAACCTGGGAGGCAAGCCCAATGAGTAGAAAATATGAATGGGGAAGTCCAACAGAAACACGGTCACATAACAAAGGACTCTTAAGCACTTGAGTCTGTGGCCACCCTTCCACCCAAAGTGAAAAAAAATGTTTTTTCTTCTCCACTGCCATGTTTCTTCAGTTACAACCATATCTCCAAAAGAATGAAGATACTTTATAATCGGCAGACAAATGAAGAGAAACGTCAGAGAGACATGGCACAACCCAGTTCAAGGAACACACACTCAACTCCCGGAGAAGCCTGCCCTGGCAGACCCTTCAAGGCTGAGATGGCCTCTGCACATACAGAAACTCCTGAACAGAAAACATAAAGCCACAATTCCTTGAGATGTGTCCAAAGAACCCTAGCTCCACAGGCGTGGCCTCCAAGTCATTTATAATTACGATGGCTGCCACACCCCCATCGGTAGGGTCAAGGGTGCCCAGGACATCCCACCTACAGGTATGTCCAGCCTTGCTGGGCCTCGGCACCTCCAACAATGGAATGAAGAAGGGGCGAGAGCTCTACACACTCCTGACAACACCCCCCCCCTTCCTCTCCACACTACCAGCCTCCCTATCTGCAGTGACGGCAGACACCACTGAAAACCCAAGACTCCCACTCTCAACCCAACAGGCTTTAGACCTCCACTGTCCAACATGGCAGCCTCCAACCACACAAGGCTACGAAACACCTGAAACGTGGCTAGCCCAAACTGAGATGCACTTCAAGTGTAAAACACACACCAGAAGTGAAGTGTTAGTATGAAAAAAATGGTAAAATTACCTCACTAATAATTTTTATGTTGTTGCATATTAAGTAATATTTTGGATCCATTGAGTTAAATAAAATGCATTAAGATTAAGTTCACCCGCTTCCGTTTACTTTGATTCATGTGGTTACCAGAAAGTCTGAAACAACACGTGTGGCTCCTGTGGTATTTCTGAGACAGCACATCCAACCCCACGGACCCCAGCACCGGTTCACTGCCCCTCTGGAGTATGCCGCCGTGAGCCCTTGTCACTCTAGCTGAAACGTGCATCTTTTCACAGGGCCCTGGGGCCCTCTCAACTGGCCACTTCTCTCCCGTCGCCCTCCAAGCACCTCCTCTCTGCCCTTTCACGTCTGCCCCGCCTGCCCACAGGTGCCAGCTCTGAAGTTCACACCACAGACCACTCCCACCACCCCTCGAAGCCGTCACCTCCCACACAACAGTCCTGCAATTTCTGCTGACTTTAATATTCACACAGAGAAGATCCTTCCAATACCTTGATCTCTACCCTTGTCTGACACCCTCTCCCCACTTACCTTGTCACCCCTTAGAGCCTGTCATTAAAAATAACTTCCGAATGCCGCATGCTCAGCTTCACCTTGCTCAGACGCCGAGGCCATGGTCGTACGGATTCTCTTAGAGATGCTCAACTCCCTCGCCCCACTCTCCTTGGCTCACGCTCGCCCAATGAAACCTGACTTTGATGAAAGTCTAATCTTCGACTACAGCTGAGGGGGAACAACCAACCAGAGTGACTGGTCCCATTCTCGGTTCCAGACCACTCACTGGAAGTGGACGCTCACCCTTCTCAGCAGTTGTGCACCTTCCTAATGCACTTCTCTTCAGGTCCTGAGACGCCACGTCCCCACCTCCCCCCCTCCTCAAGCATCTCAGAACCCGCTTCGTCTTTCCTCTTGGCTACTTCACAGAAGACGCACACGACCAAAAGAAGACTCCAATGCTCCCACCACCTGAGGTCAACACCACGTAGAGACCACACCGCCCTCCTGCCTACCCAAACCCGCGGCTCCAGCAACTCTCTAACAAACTGTTCCCATCAGCAGAGAAACACACAGCAGTATTTCCTAACTTGAAACGTTAAAAACTCTCTTGTTCTGATGTTCCTGTACTTACCCTATTACTTCCTCTCTTCCCCTTTACTACCAAACTCCACAAAGGGGTATCTAATACTAGCTGTCCTGTCCTCTGCACCCCAGCTGAACCCTCTTCAATCAGGTTTCCTTCCTGCCCCACCACTCAAAAGAGCTCTGGTCCAGGTCCCCACCGACTGCCACGCTGCTACAGCCAATGGTCAGTTCTCACCCTGTGTCACCTGACCCACCGGCAGCACGTGCAGTTTATCAACTCCCTCCTGGTTTGAGGTGAGCTCATCCAGACCTTGCACTTGAACGCCACCTACTGCCTGCCACGCTGCTATCTCCAGCCTACCTCTTTCCTTGGATTCCAAGCCTCCTTCATCTAGCTGCCTAACTGACATCTTCACATGATCTTAGCATGTCCCAAACCAAACCTCTGGTGTCTCCCGTGACAGACGGCATATATATATTTGGTCTCTGCCCTCACTTCCCTTGTGATTTCCTAAGTGATATGGGTGAGGGTGATAGAAGCACCTTACACAGAGCCCCAAGTCCCTTGGAACTTCCTAGGTGATAGGAGTCCTTTGCTCTAATAAGGCCATCTTGGTGACTCCTGAAGAGCCTCAGAAAGACCAAGCCATGATTAGAAACTCGGAATTTTCAGTCCCACCCATCATCTGGGGAGGAAAGTGGGGCTAGCGATTGAGTTATAATTCATCATTCCTACGTGATGAAGTCTCCACAAAAACCCTAAACTCCAGGGTTCTAAGAGTTCTCAGGTTGAGAAATACACCCACGTACTGGGAGGGTGGCACCCTGCAACACCACGGACAGGAGCTCCCACACTCAGGCCCCTTCTGGAGCAGGGTCGTACCTCTTACTCTTCTCAATCGCCACCCACATCCACTTAGGATCTGATACTCCTGGGGTTCACACAGCCAAGTCTGATATTTGGTCCAACCCAAACCTCCAGATTCCCAGCTCTACCTTCCACCCCCACTATCCTGCCACCCTTAAAACTGGACACATAATAATATAATTTATATATTATATAAAATAAAGGTGAAATGCTCCAGGGACAATAGTGTGCAACCTAAGGTATGATACCTACCAAGTGATATGGGACTCACCGTGCTATTGATGCTGGCTAACAGCTTTCCATTAAATTCCACCATCGAGTACACGGCCCCTTTAACTTCCTTTTCAGCCACAGTCTGCAGTTTTCCTGGAAGGAGGGGTGAGATACTCTTGAGTCTCCTTTATGAGCCCACACTTTAATCAAAAGAAAACTCTGATTCCCCCTCTGGCTCTAACTCCTACCCCAAAAGCACTCATGTGAAGGCAGAAATACAGTCAGCGTTTCATGAGGTCAATCACCATGGGAAGTATGAGCCCCAAGGTCATGTGCAGTGATTCCAGACAGTGTCCAAGTTTCAGTGCCCACCCTGAAACTCCAGATCTGTCTCTCAAGATGGAAACCAACTCCATTTTGGCTGTCTGATTCAAGATTTCTGGGCTGAAAGCTGGTCTTTGGGACCATACTAGATTGGGGAGATGAGCAAAGATATAGAAATGAACACAAAGTCTTGAAGCTGGAAAGAAGTCCTAAATGGCTGAGAACCAGAACTTGTCACTCTTACTCTAGCCACTAGATTCTCTTACCCTTCATTCACCTCTCCCCTTTTCTGCCTTTCAAAGAGCAGAAAAGGAAGAAACACATGCTAGATCATACGTGCCTCTGTGCACCTACTCCAAAACGCATTCAGACCGTCAGCAGAGGAGGGAATAGAATGTCTCGTGTCACAACAATTAACACAAGTTCTACTGCTGCCTAATGGAGCCTCTGAAACCTAAAACAGCCTGCTTACTTTCACAGATTTTCAAATCTCTCAAAAGCTGGAGACCGTGCCCACTTACCATCTGAATACTGAAACACCACAATACGACCCTGCTTGGGCTCCGCCTCCTCTGGGTACACCATGGCTGTGCCCACAATGAAGTACGTGTTGGGGTCTTTGCCCAACTTGCAGGAGACCAGACTGAGGGCATACTCGTTCTGCAGAAACTGGTGGGCATGAAGCACTAGAAGGAGAGTGGAGAGGGTGACTGGCTGATGACCCCATGCGCATGTAATCCTGCACGTCGGAGGCTCACAGCTCGGCCCCAAACAGTACAGGTAGCGACAGTGCACTCGTCTGCTGCCGTTCCTCCTGCACAGACACTCCCTCTCCAGCCTACACGAACCTGAGGTCCCACCCCTCCTTCCTTCTCCTCCGAGGATGATCTACCACAGTGTCTACCAAATTTTGGAATATATCAGGCCCAGAACTGCCTAGTTTAGGGATAATGTAGGTACAAAATGATAGAAAGCATTCATCTGCACCTTCGAAGGTGTGCTGGTCAATGATAAGGAGGTTGTGCACCTCCACCTCTTCTCCGAAGGAGGTCTCATGAGGGGCTGTGCTGCTGGAGAACAGCTTGCTGGAGCTGACGCTGCTGGACAGGGCCTGAGAACAGAAGGCACATTCATCACCCTCTGAAAGCAGAACACGTGCTGGGAGCATCAGTGAGGTGAACAGACAGGATCAGGGACAGAGGCTGAGACTGAATGAGGACAACTCTGAAGGTGGCAGTTTGAGTGGAGCCTGAAGAGCAGAGGGCTTCAGAGGACATGGGGACTGAGGATAAGGATCCACATTCCGAATGGAATTAACACAGAAGTCCCAACACAAGAATCTAAGGGTCAGTAAAGATCATTAAATCAGTGATGCCATGTCAATCACGCAAGGCTGAGGAGGAACCAGGATACCTAAGAAAGTGACAGACTCCAACTCTCCCAATGGGAACAGCAGGGGAGTACTTCAAATAAAAGAAAACCATCAAGATATTCTACTGGGGATTGATTAGGGAAGAAGTCCTATCACAGATGCCTGGGAGCAAGCAAGGCAGAGAACACATGCAATGAGATGATCGGCTAATAGCCCCATTATGTGCAGCTCTAGAATGTCCTATCACTAGCATTTATAGAAGAGAAAATCCAAGTTTAGATTTGCCCAAGGTCACACAGCTAGCAATAAACCTTGAAGCCAGTTCTGTCAAACTCCAAATCCCATGCTCTTGATGATTATGCTACCCCATCCCCAATTATGCACACCCTACAAGTACCCAAACTTATGATGAGATAAATTTTTCATCCCGCCAAGCTACTGAGCAGCAAAAATCACTCACTGCCACACATACCCTGAATTCTTCCCAACCCTCTAGTGAGGGGGCCAAATTCAGCTCCTGCCTGTTTTTATTTATTTATTTTTACTTCTTTAATCCTCACCCAAGTATATTTTTTTCCATTATCTTTAGATAGAGTGGGAAGGAGGGAAGGAAGGCGGAGGGAGGTGGGGGAGAGGGACAGAGAGAAACGTTGATGTGAGAGACACATCAACTGGTTGCTTCCAGTACGACCACAACCAGCCGGGGACGAACCACTACCGAGGTACGTGCCCTTGGCAGAAATTGAATCCACAACTCTTTGGTCCGTGGGCCGAAACTATAACCACTGAGCCAAACTGGCCAGGGCTCCTGCTTGTTTTCATAAGTAAAGTTTTACTGGAACCCAGCTGGGCCCACCTGTTGTCCATGGCTGCTCGTCCTCTCAAGGGCGGAGTGAGTAGTCACTGAGACTATGTGGCCTGCAAAGCTGAAAATGAAAAGTCTGCCCTTGCTCTAATGCCCTCACCTGGGTGCTGGCACTGGGCCTCAGAGCAGTTGTGCCTCCACTTGTGTCCTGGACTTCAATACGGCTGGAGAGGACCCCAAAACACTGGGACACTTCCTGATAGCAGATCTTCCTGCAGAACAAGTACAGAACAACAGTGCCTCTCAGAAAAAGTCTGGAGCCTCTCCACCAACTCCCAGACCACCACCCTCAGCAGCGTCCTACCCCCAGCCTCACCTGGGAGACTCATAGAGGGGAACTGTGCGAATGTGCAGCTTCTGGATCTCGTCGATGGTGCCAATGGTGAGGGTGCTGTTGTTGGCCAGTGCCAGGCTGGAAAGAAGAATCTGGGTTTAGAATAAGTAGATCCAAGAAAGAAAAGGATTCTAAGAGGTAACTACAGTATAAGGCAGTGGTTCTCAACCTTTCTAACGTCACGACCCTTTAATACAGTTCCTCATGGAAGTATCTGCATGTTGGCGGACCCACCTGGAGACGGATAGAGGAGCGGTGTCTTGGTTCCTAAGACCATCGGAAATATGTGTTTTCCGATGGTCTTAGGCGACCCCTGTGAAAGGGTCGTTCAACCCCCAAAGGGGTCGCGACCCACAGGTTGAGAACCACTGCCATAAGGGGGAAAAAAACAAGGCAGAATTTCACTAGCTTCCTCCAAGGCAGAGGTTCTCAACTTTGACCCTTAGGCTAAAAACCATCTGGAAAGGACTTCAAAATTCTGATGCCTGGTTCCAACCCAAGATTTTATTTAATAGGTCCAGGTGAGCCTAGGCTGAGATTTAACAGCTTTCAATTTCAATTTAATATTAATATGCAGTATCAGCCCTGGCCTGTTTGGCTCAGCGGTTAGAGCGTCGGCCTGCGGTCCAGAGAGACCCGGGTTCGGTTCCCACTAAGGGCGCGTACCTCGGTTGCAGTTTGTCTCCGGCCCTGGTTGGTTGTGCAGGTGGCAACCACTTGATGTGTCCCTTTCACGTCAATGTTTCTCTCTTTCTCTCTCTCTCTCTCCCTCTCCCTCCCACTCTGTCTGAACAAAAAAAATGGAAAAATGTCCTCGGGTGAGGATTAAAAAAAAAAAAAAAATGCAGTATCAAAATCTAGAACACAGATTTTCAATTACTCTCTCAAACTATCACGAATCCGCTGGAGGGCTTATTAAATCAGACCGCTCCCCCGGGAATAACATTTCTCAGGAGCTCCCAGGCAGTGCTGTGGCTGCTGGCAGGGGCCACACTGAAAGCTCTTACGTAATGATTTCTAAACCAGAATTTAATCATTTGAAACACCTGAGAGGTTTTCTGAAAATAGTTTCTAAAGCCCAACCTCAGATCTGCTGAATCAGAATCTGAGGATTCAAAAAAATCTGTCGTTTAAAAAGTTTCCCAGACATTTCTATAGTAGTCAGATTTGAGAACCTCAGCTCTACCCTTCCCATCTCAGCGTTCTCATGATTGTGACGCTGGGAAAAGGCTGGAGGGGAGGGGTTTGAGGAAAACATCACAATGCCCTCAATCCACAGTTCTTGCTGAAGAAAGAAAAAGAGGCTCACCTGTCAGGATAGCCATCTGAGTTGAGGGGACACATGTAGTTCACTTCCTTGAGGTTGACATTGGAGAAGACCAATTTGTGGTTGCTGCTATAGATGACAGTGGGGCGGTCAGAGCAGGCAAAGACGTTGGTGGTAGAAAGAGAACGGAAAGTCCTCAACACCGTGGGTTGGGTGCCCAAAGTCACCTTCTTGCGGTCACTCAATAGGCCTACAGAAAGAATGGCATCCGAAGAAAGAAGGAAAAAGGACAAACAGCTGGGTTGTGATGGTTCCACAGCAGTATCTTCAGGCTAAGAATTCTGCAATTCCAACCCTCCTTATTTTTCAAACAGCCTCTCACTCGAAAAGTGCTATTCTCACCTGTCTCAATGTTGAGCCCAAAGTAGAAAAGTGCACCATCTCCCAAGGCACAAAGGAGGTAGTGGCTACTCTCAAAGGTGGTCATCAGGATGGAACGAGGAATGATCTCTGTGGGAAAGGGGCACATTAAATTCTCGTTCCACATTCTGACTCTAATCCCAACCCAGAGCCTTAAAAGAACCATACCTCCACCCAGCATTTCTTTGTGCAGTAGCTCAAAAGAGGGTAGCTTCAAGATACGGGCTGAGATATCTGTCCAGAGGCCAATGGCACAAAGAGGGGACAGTCCGTTGCTGTCCCCTAAGGGGGTGATGTCCAAGCAGGCCACTTCGTGTTCCATCTCTGTGTGGCTGAACAAAGAGGAATATGGCAGAGGAAAGAAGCCAAGGATGAAAGAAGTCCCAGAAAACAAGAGAGGGAAAAGTGCTGACAGATAAGCACACACCTGATCTGCCGGAGCTCCTGAGGATGAATCTGCAGGTAGTAGAGGGCCCTTCCCACAGCTACTACTACCTGGCTGCTGTTGCAGGAGGCCACGCTGATGTTCTTGCCCTGAGGCTCCTTCCATTCACTAACTAGAGCTTTGGGTTCTTGAGAGACCAACCTCACGGATGCGGAAGTGATCTAGAGGAAAAAAAGCAATGTCTACAGGTACCTGCAGGGACCTAGGCAGAAGTGGGAAAGTGCTAACAGCTGCCCTAGAAGAGCCCTAAGAATAAGCTACACAAGTCCTCTTCTGCCATATATATATTTTTCCAATACCTTGCAATGATTAATTACAATGTTATTTTTAGTTGAAGCCCTGAGGAAGACTGGCCTAAGGCAGTTTACAGTTTGCATACCTAAAACCAGAAAAAAAAGGCAGCTTGTTTCATTCTGGTTAATGCTTGGGTAACTCAGACCACATCCTATGCAAAGGAATCAGTAGCATAAGATCCTGTGACTACTACCAGTCTAGGAGTTTTTATCAACCAAAAAGTGAGACCTCTACAATATCCAAGTTCTTTTTAATGCATACTACAACATACCAACTTTAATAACACACGTGTTAAAAGCAAGTGATACATTTGGAAACAGCATACGTTATTAATTCCACAAATATCATCCAAAAAACTCTTGGTCATAAAATCAACTTAATAGCTATTTACACTAAACACAATAACATGTGCCATAGCAAAGTGAGATCAGAGTCATGAGATACTATGGGCATCTGCTCATTTAACCATATTTTACAATGTCTGTTGAAACTTTAAAAAAACATATATATTTATGTAAAGCAATAAAATAAAGAACTTAGAGCTGGAAAGAACAGGTACTTTTAGAATAATCTTATTTTCATTTTTCAGATATCTATAAAATTTAAACCTTACAGAGATCATAATGCTGATATACATCCTCATATGACGTTCAATATTCTTACCATCTCATGGGCAACCCATCAGTCAAGACCAAGGCCTTAATGACTCATTTTGACCCCTTTCAAAAACTAATACTCAACAATCAAAGGCATATAAATGGAAAGATAGACTTTTAAGCCAGACAGACCTGAAGCTTACTACATACTAATTTCAGGACCTTGGGTAAGGGAATTGCCCCTCCGGCAAATTTTATGTTTGGAGGGACCCTGATGCTCTTTGTTTACACACCCAGAACACCTTTTGAGCTGTTCTCCATTCTGGCCACAGTCAGTATTTGCTAGTGGCAGGTATAGCACTTGAGTGCCTGAGGATTTATTAACTATTTCCATCTTTTTACCCATTTGGTATTTCTTTTAGCCAACAGGCAATGATGGATTTGGTAAAAACTGGAGGGAAGGTTCTGTCTGTGTGTGGACTGAGTGGGAGGGGGCAATACTGAATGCTTTGTCAGTATTTTCCATTTAGTGGCCTGAAGACGGCACGGCTTACGTATCTACTACTAAACGGCTTTCCTCCTTAAATATAAATTCAGTTTTGATAGGTAAGATGAATAGATACATAACAATGTCATCAACCTGCCTTTTGCTTTATTTCAGTGATAAATTTATAAAACATGTCAATGCAATTCTGTTGCCTTTACTAGAGAATTTTAAATAATTTTAATGAATTGTACACAGTAAAGAATTTAGATATTAAAAAACGTTGGAAGTGTCACATCATTACGTATTTAACATAATCTTTTTCAAGCCTCATTCCTGAAAAATAATGGTAGATCATTTGTTAGTATTACTTTCTTAAAGAATTCACTTTTGCTAGTTACTGTAAACACATTTCAAGAATAAGAAGTGTCAAAAGGCTTCTGACCCCAAATTGCACAAAGATTTAAAATAAGAATGCGGCCCTGGCCAGTGTGCTCAGTGATTAGAGTGCAGGTCTGTGCACCAAAGGGTCTCAGGTTTGATTCCTGGTCAAGGGTAAATACCTGGGTTGCAGGTTCAATCCCTGCCCAAGCGGGGCATGTAGAGGAGGCAGCCAACTGATGTGTCTCTCTCACATGAGTGTTTCTCTCTCTCTCTCACCCCGCCCCCCACTCCCTCCCTTCCTTCCATTCTCTCCAAAAATCAATGGAAAAAAAATATCTCTGGGTGAGGATTAACAAAAATAAATAAATAAATATAAGAATCCAAAGCGTCAGAGCTCTGGTTCTAATAATATGTGGAGAATGCTGCCAACAATCCTATATGGATGGTAGAATGATGATTGTTTTTCTTCTCTGTACTTTTCTATATTTTTCCAATAAGTATGTATTAATGTTATAACGAGGAGGGAAATGTGTCACAGAACACAGGATATAATTAGTGCTAAAACAATACCCCCTCCAAAATATAAATATTCTAATCCCAGTCTATAAAAAAAAGACATGAATAAACAATGTACATACATTTGCAGAGGTCACAAAGCTAAAAGCAACAACTCCAAAGTTAAGAGTTGCTAAATTACTAACTCTGAGTAGTGGGTTATCAAGTAATTTAATTCTTTTCTAGCCTTTTAATGTTACTTTTAGAGCCATAATAATGGACTGTTTTAAAATCCGGTGCTGTTCTACACTACACTCTAGGTCAAATTCAAGGACTTGGGGCCTGACCCCTTCGCAGTTGTTACCTGAATAAGTTGCTGATGAGCCACGTTGCCACAGAAGAAAGTCTGCTGATCGTCCACAAAACCCATCAGTTCAGTTTCTTCCACCTCCTCTCCGTTTAACATGAGAACTCTGCAGCAGAAGGAAGGCCAAGGTCAGCCGGACCAACTTCCCTCCCCAAACCCTTCTCATGAGCACTTGGAGCTGGCACCAGACTCATCTTACCTTGTCTGGCCCACAAAAGAGAGCACCAAAGTGTCATCAGTCTCCCGGTTAGGATCAGATCGCAGTGGCCATAGGCCTGGAACAAAGATCAAAGATCAAGATGCAGAGCAGAGACCAACACATCTAAGGAAGGGCCAGCTGACCCCACGGGAAGAGCAGGAAATTTGGAGTCTTCTGAAAAAGTCAGATATTCTAAAAACTGTTTTGAGCCGGATATTTTAAAGTTTTTCATTTGATTTCAGATAATACATTTGCATGACTCAAAGTCAAACTTATTTTTAAAACGTGCAACACCAGTCTCACTCCTATACCTCTCCTTCCGAGAATAGCTTCTAACTGGATTATTTTACTTCAAATAATCTCCAGGTCCCAGAAAGATCAATATCGCATGACCTCACTGATATGTGGAATCTAATGAACAAATAAACACATGAACAGAACAGAACCAGAGGTGTGGAAACATGGAACAGACTGATAAATCTCAGACGGAAGGGGGAGCAGGGAAGAGATCAACCAAAGAACTTATATGCATATATGCATTGCCCATGGCCGCAGATGAGAGAGTGGTGGTGGGGAAGGAGCTGGGTGAAAGGGAATAATGGGGGAGAGGGAATATCTGTCATACTCTAAACAATAAAGATAGTAACAAAGAGAATAATTTCTAGTTTGTCCTTCCAATTTACTTTTTTTATTTAACTAAATTTACTGGGGTAACATTAATAATTCAATTTTTTTTTTTAAATCCTCACCCGAGGATATTTTTCTATTTATCTTCAGATAGAGTGGGAGGAAGAGAAAGGGAGAGAGAGAGAAACATCGACATGAGAGAGACACATCAACTGGCTGCCTCCAGCACAACCCTGACCAAAGCTGGGAACAAAGAGAAAATGAGGTACGTGCCCTTGGCCGGAATCAAGCCCGCTACTCATTGGTCTGTGGGCCAACATTCCACTGCTGAGCCAAACCGGCCAGGGCTCAAATTATTTTTTTAATTTAAGGAATAGGTAAACATTGCATTATAAGCAAATACAAATATAATACAGCCTATGACGCACCATTCCACACCTTGTTTTCTCATTTACTATATGCCTGAGTCTCTACAGAACAACTCCTTTTTTTTGACATCTGCACAGTATTTAATTGTATGGCTATACCAGTTTATTAGTATGTCCACTGCTGGACACTTTCTTAGTGGATTTTCTTATTAACACACAATGCCACAAGGAATAATCTTACATATATGTCATTTGCTACCTATGAAGGTCTGTGGGGTAATGTCCAGAACTGGGTTTGTCGGGAGCACCCTTAATTCCTCATGGCCTCACCAACATAATGTATTGTCAAACTTTTGGATTTTGGTTATCTGGTAAAGAAGGATATCACCACTTTGTTCTGATTTGCATTTCTCTTAATACAAAGCGAGACCTGTTACCTGTCCGTTCATATCCTTTGCCAAATCGGGGACAGGAAATTTGATGATTTTTCTAGAAATTTTTTCCATGAATTAGGGAGATTGGGCCTTTGGCTAGAAGATGACACATTTTTAACTAGTTAGACATTTCTTCTTTCTAACTTAAGGTGATTTGTTTTCTTTAAGGCTTTTAGAGGGAAAGGGAGAAATAGAAACATTAGTAAGAGAGAACATCAATTAGCTGCCTCCTGCATGCCTCCCACTGGGGATTAGGTCCACAACCTGGGCACGTGCCCTGACCAGGAAATGAATTGGTGACCTCTTGGTGCATGGGTCGACGCTCAACCACTGAGCCATACTGGCTGGGCTACAGTGGTTTTTAAAAAATATATTTTCATTGATTTTTTAGAGAAAGGGGAAGGGAGAGAAAGATAGAAACATCAATGTGAAAGAGATACATCAAGCAGCCGCCTCCTGCACGCCCCCTACTGGAAATCAAGACCACAGGCATGTGCCCTGACAGGGAATTGAACAGGAACCTCTCAGTCCACGCCATGACACTCAATTCACTGAACCACACTGGCTGGGCTACAGTGTTCTGTTTTTGCCATGGAGGAGTGTTTTATTTTTATGTTGTTGAATTTATCAATCTTTCTTTTTGGCTTCTGTATTCTAAGTCACAGTTTAAAAGACCTTCCCCACTCCAAAATTAGAAAGAAATCACAAATTTCTTCTTTTAGCTTTTGTATGGCTTCATATTTTACTTTAAGTTTTCGATCCATTTAGATTCCAGCAAAGTATACATTGTGCAGTATGGGTCCCACCTTATCTCTTCTCAAATGACTGTTATCCCACACCATCTATTAAAAGAATCGCTTTTGCCCTGACTGGTTTTGCTCAGCGGTTAGAGCATTGGCCTGTGGACCAGGGAGTCCCGGGTTCAATTCCAGCCAAGGGCATGTACCTTGGTTGGGGACCCCAATGCAGGTGGCAACCAGTCAATGTGTCTCTCTCACATCAATATTTCTCCCCGCCCCCCCCCCCCCACTCTGTCTGAGAATAAATGCAAAAATATCCTCAGGTGAAGATTAAAGGATAATAATAAAGAGTCACCTTTACCTCACTGAATTAAGATACTGTCACTATCATACACTAAACTCCCACATATAACTATATTACTTCTAGACTTTTCAGTCTGCCCATGGGACTCTGCCTGTTTGTGCACCAAAACCACACTACCAGTTACTTAGGTTTAATAGTACATTTTAATATCTGGTAAGGCTAGTCCCGTCTCACTGCTCTTAAGTTTTCCTGGCTTTTCTTGTTTCTTCCTTTTTTCATTTGGACTTGTCTACATCAAGGAAAAAACCTATTGATATTTTTATTGAGATACATTATACATAAAAAGTCAAAGAGAGAACAGCTCTATAATGATTTATAAGACCTTGGTATGTTTTTTTCATTTGATCAACCTATTATTTTAATCCTTCAAGAGTACTTTAAAAGTTTTCTGCACACAGATTTTGCACATTTCTTGTTAAATTTATTCCTAGTATTTTATCTTTTGGCTGCTATTACAAATTGCCTCTTTCCCTTTACTATACCTTCTAATTGTGTTTTTAAATAAAAGTTATTGATTTTAGTACATTAATTTTATATCCTGCCACCCTAATGAGTTATTGTCTAGTTTTTCCGTTGATTATCTTGGGTTTTGCAGTTATATGATCTCTTCCTTTCTCATTCATAAACCTGTGTTTCTTTTCTGTCCCCATCCTCCTGTTTATATTCTAAATTACTTTACTTTAGATGTACTTCCTATATACAATGTTAAACTGGTTTTGTTCTCTGATTCAATGTGATCATCTTTTTCTTGTAATAGGTAAGTTTAGCCCATTCACATTTACTGACAGAGTACCAAGTATCTGAGACAGATATATATGTTTGGTATCAGTTCTATCACATTACTTTAGGTTATGTTTACTGTTTATATACTGCAAAAGTCTTTCATTGTGCAGTCTTTGATCTTTTTTATTACATTAGTTCTCCTAGAATTGAGGAAGACTTGTATTTTTGTTCTACAAGTTACCTATATATTTCTAGGATATCCTCAATCCCCACTTCCTTTAGGAATTCTATCAGTTCCCTATTAACAACATTAAATTTAATTTGTTGTATTTTCCTCCCCATTCCTCTATTTCATTATCCAATTTCGGTCAATAGCATTCTTTTTTTAAGTTAACTTTTACACGTTTAAGTATGTTTAAGCTTCTATCTTTTCAGTGTTATCATGGCTTTCTGTACTCTTCATGGGATCTGTTTTCCTCTAGCCCTCACCAAAGTGCCTCCAGGACAAGAAACAAGAACAAAAGCCAAGGTCATTCAAATAAGATTCACATCCTACATCACCAAAAGGCTACCTTTGATGCCTGGTAAGTCAATGCTGGCATGCTCGTGGATTCCAATTCCATTCCGGATGATCCGTAAGGAACCTTCTTTGAAAGCCCCAGAGCAAGTGACCAGCTGCAAGGAGAGAACAGGTTTCTAAATAACCCCCTCCAGAGCTGGGGCCATCATAAAGAAAGTAAACAAGCTGTACCTAAACCTAAGGACCCTTACTGTGGAGCTAGGTTTAGAGATGCAGACTCAGCAGAGGCTCATCTCCAAAGTCTCCCAAATATACAGAGCAGACAGGATGTCCTAGTCCGAAAAGCAAAAAGCTCCTACTACTTCTAGCAAGTTTGCTTCCACCCTTGGAACCCAGTTTACTAGAAAGATCACAGGACCTGAAATTAGACATACCTGCCATTTACTACTTATATGACCTTGGACAAGTTATTTAATCCCTCTCAGCCCTAAATTTCCTCACTTTTTAGAAATGGCCAAGAATCCCTACCAGGGTACTCATGCAATTATAGATAATGTATATAAAGTGCCTGGCAGACCAAGATAGGCACTCAATAAATGGTAGTTATCCTTCTACCACTGAGATTAGCGAGTAAGGCTCTTAAAAGTTATCTTCAGTGCGCACTCCCCATTCAAGACAGGCAAACCCAGGAGGGCACAGTCTGGGCACATCAACTATCCATTTCCAGGGTGATCCCCTTACCTGTCCCTGCCCCTGTCTCTCCAGGTCCACCACACACATGTCCACAATGGGTCCTAAATTGGTAAAGGTTTCCATGGCCACTACATAGGAGCCTTGTTCATTGCTGTCAACATTGAGCTAAGAAGAAAGAAAAATGTTAGTCCTATAACACTCAGACTCACCCCAAAAGTGATAGTCTTTATCCAAAAGAAACCCTCAATCCTGCTTGAGCTGCCCTTCCTGTGCTCCACTAAAGGTTTTTAGAAGGGGACTGTCAGCTAAGGAACATGTTTGTCCTACAGGTGACCCACTAACCAGCCAGGAATTTCTAATGAAACAGTTTGGACATTAACATAAAATGTTTGCATGCATTTCTCTGCAGAGAAGGTCTAACATTTTTATATTCTAAAGGATATTCAGTACATTAGACTATGACCTTTTCAAGGCAGGAGCTGGGTCTTGCTCATCATTGTCCATAGCACCCAGCATCTTGCCTGGCACATTAGCTGAATGAACCTTTAGGACAAAGAGCTGGTCAGGGGAGGATGTTAAATCAAACAAGTAGAAAGATGCATAGTAGGAATATGGATGAACAGAAGAAATTCTGAGAGGCACTGAATACAAGAGAAACCCGACCAAGCAGCAGGGAAGCCAGTGAAAAAGAAGCAAGAAAGAAAGCATCTTCTCACCTTCACAAGCTGGGAGTCGCCAAGGCGAGACCCGACAAACACAACACCGTTATCCAGGTATGTCAAGCATTCAGCAATAGAGGTCTAGGAGAAAGTCAACAGCATGAAAGGTATCAGAATGGACTCCTTGTGAGATCCAGACACCATCCTATCCACTCTCAAACCTATGCTGAGAAAACACACGACTACAGCCATGATGCCCAAAACAATTGTCCATTTCAAGTCCCAGGTTATACTAAACCAGTGGTTCTCAACCTTCCTAATGCCACGACCCTTTTAACAGAGTTCCTCATGTTGTGGTGACCCCCCAACCATAAAATTATTTTCGTTGCTACTTCATAACTGTAATTTTGCTACTGTTATGTCTTAGGCAACCCCTGTGAAAGGGTTGTTCAACCCCCAAAGGGGTCGCAACCCACAGATTGAGAACCGCTGCACTAAACAAATGTTCTTAAATCTCTGAAGTTTGTGACTCTCCATTTATCACATACCTAGTCAGAAAAATCTATAATTTATCTCAAAAGTGGCTGCTCCAAATGGTCCCTTTAATCCTAACTTCAGTCTCCTCGAAATAATTAGAAACCTCCAAAATTCACTGCATGATTCTTAAACCTCGATGGGACTCTCCTCACAGAAGTGAGTATCAACATTAGATTAATCTTTAATTACTTTTGTTTCTTTCTTTCTACACTAGAGGTAGTGCCCAGCTGCCTGTGAGATTCTCCAACATCTAACTCATTCAAAAACAAACTTCCACAGCAGGACTGACCATTTGTTGCTGGGTAATATAACTCCAGCTGTAGTGTGGGACCACACACATGGGGTCATTAGGCCCCAAGGAGAATGCAGCAGAGTAGGAGCAAGCCCTACCTCTCCGAGGAGTTCCACACGGAGATCCTTGAGGGTGACAGTGCCATCCATCTGTTCCTCCTTCTCCAAAAGCAGCATGAAGAGCCGTCCCTCCATGTCCCCCAACAGATAACGAGAACCATTGGGGTCCACACGATTGTGACACACAATCGTGCTTTGCTGCCAAGAGGGAAGACACAGTTATGAGAGATTAATCGTCTTTAACAACCAGAGAGCAAACCATTCCCTTTACCAAACCCAGCCATTGCATGAGTAAGAAATCCAATCAGCTAACATTGCATGTGTGATGGAAAATGCAGACATTTTGCCTTGGCTAATTTGGCTTAGCAATTAAGAGCGTCAGACTGGCCCTGGCCGGTTTGGCACAGCGGTCAGAGCATTGGCCTGCGGTCCAGAGAGACCTGGGTTCAGTTCCCGATAAGGGCATGTACCTCAGTTGCAGTTTTTCCCCAGCCCTGGTTGGGTTGTGCGGGATGCAGCCACTTGAAGTGTCCCTTTCACATCGACGTTTCTCTCTCTCTCTCCCTCCCACTCTATCTGAACAAAAAAATGGAAAAACATCCTTGGGTGAGGTTAAAAAAAAGAGCATGGGGCCGCATACTGAAGGGTCACAGGTTCGATTCTCGGTCAAGGGTGCGTATCTGGGTTTTGGGTTTGATCCCTGCCCCCGGTCAGGGTCATGTCATGTGGGAGGTGACCAAATGATGTGTCTCTCTTACATTAATGTCTCTCTCTCCTAACCTAAACCCTCCCTCACTCCCTCCCACTCTATCTAAAAATCAATGAAAAAATATCCTCGGGTGAGGATTAAAAAATTAAAAATCAAGAAAATTGAGACATTTTTATTTTGAGGACAATATTCTGAGGAGTTCAATATAGCTATAATGTTTAATCACATATTATTCTACTGGAAAATAGGAACAGAAAGAATAGAAAGAAACTACAATTATTCACTGGACTGTAAATGCTACTACTGATTTTGTTAATTTATCCTCACTATCATTAATTATCTCCTAACACTATTGCTCCCATACACTTTATTTATCATCAAGTCCTAATTTTTATGACTTGAAATTTTAAGGTTTGAAATTTTTATGACTAATTTTTAAAAGTCTATACAATTTACCACTATAGTACTTTACATGATACAAGCCCTGAAAATACTCAAATGAATTTGCAAAATTACTCCCTTCTTAAAGTGCCTTCGTCAATGAAAAGGGAAAACCTATTTTTTTTTCAAATCCTCACCCAAGGATATTTTTCCATTTATCTTCAGATAGAGTGGGAGGGAGAAACAGAAAAAGAAACATCGATGAGCCCTGGCCGGTTTGGCTCAGCGGTTAGAGCGTCGGCCTGCAGTCCTGAGAGACCCGGGTTCGGTTCCCGCTAAGGGCGTGTACCTCGGCTGCAGTTTGTCCCCAGCCCTGGTCGGTTGTGCGGGTGGCAGCCACTCGATGTGTTCCTTTCACATCGATGTTTCTCTCTCTCTCTCTCTCTGTTCCTCTCTCTCCCTCCCACTCTACCTGAACAAAAAATGGAAAAATGTCGTCGGGTGAGGATAAAAAAATAAAAAAAGAAACATCGATGTGAGAGAGGCACACTGATTGGTTGTCTCCCACACAACCCCGACCAGGGCTGGGACCGAACTGCAACTGAGATACATGCCCTTGACTGGAATTGAACCCGTGACTCTTTGGTCCATGGGCTGATGCCCTAACCATTGAGCAAAACTGGCCAGGGCAAGGGTAAACCTATTGTATTATTTCTCTTTCTTAGTGAGCAAGCAATCTCTTTTTAAGCAAAACCAGGCCAATCTCTTCGTATTCCCAATGACCAACACAATGTCTTACAAACTTAGTGAACAATACAGACATCTGTGAATCGCCTTTTGACAAATGAGGAGAAAGAAGGGAACAGGGTAAGAACAAGGAGAAAAGGGGGAAAAAGATAAAAGGGGGAAAAAGTAAAGGAAAGCTGCTCACCTTGATGATAGGAGGTGCAATTGCCAGGTATTTGTCACCATTGTGATAGGTGATCGATTCCTGTCCGATGATGATGGCCCCTCCAAAAGGCTCTGGGACTGCAGAAGAAAGGGCAGCATTAGAGTGCTCCGCACTGCGGACCTGTCAGACTCGCAGACAGCAAGGGAACTGACTCAGTTATATGAGGCAAACTTTAAGATAATTATTACTTTTAACGACGTCTGAGCCCATGGAACATGATAGCCTTTTTCTGAGATTCCCGTCTTAGAAATCTCAAGCTGGCATTATCTAACATCCCCCCCACCCCCACCCCGTGATATTTTATTGCCACTCCTGGTGTTTCTTCCACATGCATTCTTTTCACTTTTCTCTCCTATATTTGATCCTTCCTAACTAAAAGTTTTTACTTTTCTCCTTGTTCCTTAGCTTAATTTCCCCCATCAGAGTCACCATTCAGAAGAACTAGTTTGCACTTAAGAGTTTTTAAACTTCTCTGCTAGATGAGACACACAACACAGTGCTGGGGCGAGTACAGAAAAACTGCAAACAGGCCTGGAATGTAGCCCAGGCTTTGTCAAGTAAGTACAGGCATGGACAAGTCCCTCAGGCCCTGTTTCCTCATCTACGAAATAAAGAGTCAGATTAGATAAGCTGTATTGGGCCCTTACAGTTTTTTATATGCTATGCTCAACAATAAAATAATGAGCCCTGGCTGGTTTGGCTCAGCGTTGGAGCATCAGCCTGCAGACCAGAGAGTCCCGGGTTTGGTTCCTGCTAGAGGCAAGTACCAAAACAAACAAACAAAAAAAACAATAAAATAATGAGACTAATTTCCATATGCCACTCTGCAAATCAATTTCAGTATTTTATAGTTAACTCCAAATAAGGAAAACTATACTTTGGGAGGGAGGGGGTGAAAAACAAGACAATCCCAAAAACAGAAATGGAAAAAGAAGAAAAATTTAAAAAGCACATTTAGAGAGAGGAGGCACAGGGAGTGCTGAACAACACATGCACTTAAAAGCACTTGAGCACTGAAAGGAAGGGGCAGAGCAGGTGAGGAAGGAACCATAGGGAACTGGCCCAGACCTGGGGTGGAGGCAAATTTCCTGAAACCCCCAACCAACCTGCAATCACCATGGAAGCTTCAGCTTCTACATTTTCCTGTTTCCAAGGGCCCTTATTGAACTCCTTCTCTCGAAGAGACACCTCATAGGTTTTTACATGCCGCCCCTGAGGGTCCTAGGTGGAAAAAGGTGGAATGATTAGCCTGTAGGAAAAGAGAGGGTCCCTAAAAAGGACTGGTGACCACCACCCAACGTCAGAAATCCTGTCATGTCAGCCTCCCCATCCTGTGACTGAGTAAACTATCACTGAGGCCTACTGTTACCAACAGTTCAACCAACCAATAAATGTTTAAGAAACAGAAAAAATGAAATTGTCACACTGTACTAACCACTATACGATACAATGTAAATATGTAGATGTGTATGTGTGCAAGCACGTGTATGTTATATATGTATTATACATATGTATGTGTGTATCCATACATAAATGTGTGTGTGTGTGTGTGTGTGTGTGTGTGTATTCTATATTCATTGACCGCGAGGAACTTTAAAAATATCTAAAGAGCCCTGGTAGGTTAACCTGAGAGTGGTTGGAGCTTCCGCCTACAAAACAAAGGGTCACAGGTTCCATCCCCGGCCCAGTCAGGGGCATGCAGGAGGCAACCAATCAATGTGTCTCACATCAATATTTGTTTTTCTCTCTCTCTCTCCCCCCCACCCTTCCACTTTATCTCAAAATCAATGAAAAAATGTCCTCGGGTGAGGATTAACAACAAAACAGCTAAAGAGAAAAAAATGTTTTTTTTTGAGAAACTAAAAATACATCTAAATTTTTAAAAATTTGTATGATAAATTCTTAAAAGCAGTCTGCTGAGGTGATGGTAGAAGACAACATATTCCTCCTCTAAAGTTAGTCAAAACCAGTCCTTCCATTGTCAACACCATCTTCCCCTCCTTTTTCTGAACCATGACTCACTTTGTCCTGGAGCTGACAGTCGTCTTTACAAGATATAAGAGCAGGGTTGGGGAGAAGGCTACATTCGGCCAGTGGAGGACAGCCTCAACAAAGGCCAGACCCAGGTCTAAGAAGTTATGAAAGGAATTCAGTGATGTTTTCCAGGGCAAGAACCACACCTCAATCACCGTGACAGCTCCTAAAACACTTAGCATAACTACCTTTCACACAGTAAACAATGGACAAATTGAATTTTTGATACAAAAACTAGAGATAAGGTAATTTTTAGTTGATGAAAAGATTTTCCCATTAATGATTGGAGTAAGACTCAAACTCACAGTAAGTTCAACCTGGGGTTTGGATTTAGGCCTATTGAGACACATACAGAAATAAAAAGATCGTGCACACAGGCAGCCCTGAGGCTGGGAGCAGGAAGAGTCAGAATAACCCATGTTTTAATGACCCAATGCTTACAAAACTGAAGAAGGGAGACAAACTCTAAGTTTTTATTTCAGCTCTGATAGTTAATGCACTATAAAAAAGCTCAAACAAAATTTCCGAAATAGTTTCAACCTTATTTGATTGAACTTGATACTAACCAGCCTCAGAACTTTAACATTTCCAGTGACACTAAGAAATCTACAAATAGTTATACATCAGTGTATTTCCAATACTTAACACAGCTATCAGTGTTTTCATGCCCACACACAGTACATGGACTTGGACTCTTTCCTGCTGTCATTTATTCAATGACACGCTAGTAAAATGACCTCATGCTATACAGCCCTTTGTTAAAAGGCTGTGATTTTACCAGGATACAGACATGTTAGTCTAGTGCTGTGCCACTGTGCCCTGCCCCCCACTGCACGCCCCCCAGCAACAGCTCTGGCCCAGAGAACAGCTGCCCACGATCAGCTCTGCTAAAGTTTTAAGCACAGATTAAAATAGAAGTCAAGAGCCAGCAAGTCACCAGAAAGTGAGTGCTGAATAAAATGCCAACCTTTTCTTAGAAGACATATATAAAGCGTCACCAAGACATTTTTTCTAAAGGCAACTTCCAGATCATTTCTCTAAGTTTTTAATTGATTTTTTTTAGAGGGAGCAGGAGAGGGGGAGAGAGGGAGGGAGGGGGCGGGATAGGGAGAGAGAGGGAGGGAGGGATAGGGACAGAGAGAGAGAGTGAAAGACAGACAGACAGACAGACATGGATTATTATTTCACTGACTTATGTATTCTATTCATTGGTCAATCTTGTATATGCCCGGACCCAGGATCAAACCCACACTGTTCGCGTATCAGGACCATGCTCTAAACAACTAAGGTACCCAGTGGAGCCATTTCCTAAATTTTAATAATCCCCTAGCATGCCAATAGGAGACTAAGACAAAGTATAAACTAGGTCAACCTATAAAATCTGCAAGGCCCATAACCAGGGCGTAATCTCAGGATTAAAACCTGCTACAAGCCTCAGAAAGCTTCCTTCCTCCACAACAAGTACTACTGCACTCTGGTCACAATCAAAACCTGATCTATATTAATTATATCATTCAAAACATTTCAGGACAATATTCAACACTTCTGCCTACCCTACTACAAAATCCAGGCATTTCAAGTAGCAAAAATGAACTCCTACTATGCCAAACCATACAGCTTCTCCCCCCCCCCCCCCCATTCAGTACCTGGTAGACAAAACAGATGGTAGGTGCTTGGCAACCATATAGGAACTTGACGTCGATGACATGCAACTCCTCCAGGCGGATGTTAAAGGCCTTGAGCTCTTTATTATCCCGGTCTAGGGGAATAACCTTGAAAAGGCCATCATAGAGTCGCAGGCCAATCATCCGGCACTCGGGGTCAATGATGCCAATAATGCCAGTCTCTGAGGGGCGGCCGATTCGGTCCTGAGAAGTAAAACTCGGGTTAGGGAAGAACCTCAACACCCAGAGCAACAGAGGACATTGGGCACCACTTTACCAGGATGATTTTAAGAGTGATGGTAAAACTGGTGGCATTTACATGACATGCCAGGAAGCCTAAATGTTAGTGTATATCCTTCTGTAAAACACAGAACTCAGTGAGTTATTTACTCTGTCCCTTGGACTCTGAATAAACTAAAGAAGTCCTCTCATCATAAAAGCTCAAACCCTTAGTGTTTTCTCCTTGTTTCTCTGATCATATAGAGAGCTGCCCCTAGCATTTCAATTTGCTTCATCAAATCATGACAGCCCTACCTGGAAAACTCTCATCAGTCTGAGGCAGCCACCTCACCTGGACGTTGCCATGGGCTCGTGTGATGATATCGATGCTCTCACCACTCTGCTTATACTCCAGGATGCAGGCGTTGTACTTAGCTGTCAGGATAAACAGTAGGTCCTTGCTCTCCCCCTGAAAACCAACATTATGCTATCAAAAGAGGTTCTTTTTAAAACAGGAATTCCTGCCCTGGCCAGTTTGGCTCAGCGGTTAGAGCATCAGCCTGCGGTCCAGAGAGACCCAGGTTCGGTTCCCGCTAAGGGCACGTATTTGGGTTGCAGTTTGTCCCCAGCCCTGGTTGGGTTGTGTGGGAGGCAGCCACTCAATGTGTCCCTTTCATGTCGATGTTTCTCTCTCTCTCTCCCCCTCCCACTCTATCTGAACAAAAAATGGAAAAATGTCCTCGGGTGAGAGGAATGAATGAATGAATGAATAAATAAATAAATAAATAAATAAAAAACAGGAATTCCTGCCCAGCCTTTAGGCATCATTCTTTAAGCATGCCAGTTCTTTAAGAATATTTTTCCTCCCTGAAAAGAAAATCCACAGTGGATTTTCAGACAAAAGTGCACACACACACACTCTGAGGGTGTGTTCTAATGACCAGAACTGAAGGTGTTAAACATCTAGTTCTCACTTTCAGGATTCCCCATCTCTCTGCTCTACATACTATGTCTTCATCTATTTCCATATCAAGCTAATCTCAAATCATTCCATTCAAATTCTAAAAGATGAATGTACTGACTCCTCTAATCTTCTCCAAGTATTTGAAGAGGGGGAAAAAGGTGAAAAACAATGAAGCTAAAATGGATCTACAAAGTCTTTATTATTTTTTTAATACGTTTTTATTGATTTTTTTAGAGAGAAAAAGAAACATCAATGCGAGAAACATCTATCGGTTGCCTCATGCACACCCTTACCGTGGATTGCTCCCACAACCCAAGCATGTGCCCTGACCAGGAATCAAACCAGGACCTCTCAGTCCAGGAGACGATGCTCAATCTACTGAGTCACACCAGCCACACAAGTCTTATGATTAACACAGACCCCCAAATTGTGAGTATTTTGTTCAAAGGGGTTTATACATAAAATTCTGAATTCACTGCTTTCTTGTGTGATTCAGTTAAGATATGATGAAGCAATGTGGTGGCTACTTGAATGAAAACATTTGAATTATAATAATGATCATGTGATGATAACTGTTAACATAACAATGAGCGCTTGCTAAACCCTGTGTTATTAAGTCATTTAATCTTCACAATAACCCAGGGGATTGGATACTGTTATCCCTGTTTTGCAGATAAGTAAATAAGGCTCTGAAAGGTTAAGTGACACCCAAAGTTAGAATTAATAAGGAATGAAGCCAGGACTGCCCTACTCTAGGGCCAATGTTCTGAATTACCATGACAACCCACAGTATGGTGACCCACATTTCAAACCGTTTTAATTTCCCTTTCTTAAGGAAGTCAACTTGATCATTTTTCCCTAGTCAATCTCTCCCACTTCTAGGAAGCTTATTCAAGAAGAATATCAATTAAAGCCTGCCATTCAAAAGAAGTAGTTTCTCTCCTGAGCCTTACTCCACCCATCCCAAGCAATAATATACAACGTAAAAAAAAGTGCTAGGCCCAACCCAGAGCACTTACCTTGGGCCTGAAGAGCTCCATGACAGCGATCTTCCCATACATGCCCACCTCTTTAACAGGCCGGAGCCCCTCGGCAGTGACCACATAGATCTCTAATCTCGTGTTTTTGGCAATCAGCAGGTTCAAGTCTTCAGCTGAAGTAAAGTGTCCTGAAAAAACAAACAAACAAACATATCTTCTAACTTTTGAAGCCAGAGCAGTCTCTTAATCATCTAGAATTCTCACTTAATTCGTACAATTTCTCCTATTCGCTCCAGTCACTCCCTTCTCACCAAACCCAGCCTGTCAGTCTTAACTTCACACGCTCATGAAAGGCTACACTTCTCTAATCAGACTGAGAAACGTGGACGGGGCTTAGAAGCAGCATGTCCTTCAACTGACAATGACTGTGAAAACCCTTCAGATGGCTCTGCACCCTCAAATTTTCCTTTTCCTTTTGCAGGGACACACTTATCCTCTAAATAAGGGATGCTAGAGAAAACGTTCATTTCTATTCGGTCTTTATCTAAGTTTTCACAAGAATCTTTACCAAACAGACCAGGTCAGATGAAAATTCTCAGAGCTTTGTATTAAAACTGTTTTGTCCACACCTCTCAGTAGTCTACCAATACCATCATCCAGCCTCCTTCACCGCTCCCAACTCTCTGGCAACTGTTTTGTTTTGGAATCGTAATAAGTATTGACAGAAACACACAAGTTTGAGGTCACCCTAATTTTGCTCAAAACTTTGTGCAAAATGACTACTCCCGGACTGTGGACATCTGTGTCCTTAATCTCTGCACAGTCAACAAGGCAAACCCAGCACTGGGTCGGGCCATCCTAACCCTCTTTCCCAGCAGCTCCAAGTAAACAACAGCCCGAGGCAAAGACTCCAGGCCTGCTCTGGGTGAGTGTGAGCATTCCTCACGTCCCTCCACCCCCACCCCACCCCCACCCCGCCCCAGGCTATCCCACAGGAAAACTCTGACCCCCAAATCGCCACCACCACCGCCCCTTCCCCGACCACACGAGGCCAATGTCGGGGCCCAAGGAACACCGCACGACCAACTCACACTTCGCTTTCTGTCCTACTGGGCCCGTCCCCGTCCTCGAGGCCAAGTGACCTCCCAGGACGAAAGGGGACCCTCGAACACAGCTTTTAAGCTCCAAAAAGCGCGTGTGGAGACAGCTTCTTTGAAGTCGTGGACTAGGAGAAGTTCCTCGGCCTGCGGCGCCTTCCATCGCCGGGCCCGGGCCCTCCCGGCCGCCCTAAGGGTCGCGGGCCTCCCTAGGCCGCGGTGCCCCCCAGATCCCGCCCTCGCCGGGGTCTCGGGCCGTGGCAGCCTCACCGGTCACGCAGCCGTTCACGGCGGTGGGCTTCTGGGCCGTTACCACGTAGTTGTACGACATGTCGAGGGCTGGGCGGCCTGTCGAGACTCGAGCGCAACGATACACAGATGGACACCAGCGAAGAGACAGGGGCCCAACCCGCGCGGCGCTCTCCACGGCCGCTGCCGCTGCCTCCGCCCCGCAGACACGTTGCAGGCCAGAGCGGCCGGGGCGCGGGGCATCACGGGACGGCCTCACCTGGCCTCTTGGAGGACTCACGGCGCCCTAGGCGGCCAACCAACGGAGGCCCCGCCCCGGAGGCCCCGCCCCCTTGCTTACCGCCGGAGCTCGGAGTACCCGGATAACGGCGCCTGTTCTGGGTCCTCGGGAAGCGGTGGTGTCGACGGGGTTGGTGACGGGCGAGTGAGTGGTTGGGGGAGTTGCGATGCCCCTGATGCCCTCAGAGCTGACCCGCCGACCTCAACCCCAGTCCGCGCCGCTCACCCTTCCGCACGCCCCGGCCTATCCCTCTCCTTTGCTCCAGAGCCCTCGGGGCTGTTCATTCTTTTGGAACCGGAAGAACTGCAGAGGCCTAGAGAGGGAAGGGAGGTGACAGCAGTTTGTGCACCTCCCAGACTGGAGCTGAGGTTCATACCTCCCTCCCTTTAGCCCTCCCAGTTCCTCCAAACCCAGCCGATACCCTCACCCGACCCTGGAATGGTTTACCACCCCGCCTCACCTGGGGGAGGGGGACCCCCAGGAGGCTCACTTCCCCTTTCCCCTTTGGAACTCTTATTCTTCAAACTTTGAGGGGCCCACCAAGCCACTTGCCCAGCATTATTAGTACCCCTGTTACTGTACAGATTTTGATCTCAAATACAAAACCGGAATGTCCCCCATGAGAACCTTAATGACCCAGGAAAGCAGTCCGGTAGCGCTGCAACTTCCAGTCTTGCCACATCACACAGGCTCAGCAAGGAAGAGGAGGAGAACCACTAGTTTGGAGTACCCGCAGAATGCCACGGAGAATACAACCCACATTTTACAGAAGAGGGCGCTGAGGCTGCGGGGGAGGGGGGCGCAGGGGGATTACCTCCAAACGTCCAGTAAGTCAGAGGCAGAGCCAGGTGTGGATTCTTTCCACTGCAGACTCTACAGTGAGCCCAAGACCCTGAATGACCCCAAAATACCTCTGAAGCAGGCTGAACTCAGGGGAGCTAAAACATCCTTGGGGTTTACATGCGTGGTTTCCCACACCAGGGATTCTGCCTGACTTTGGAGGCACTGAATTATCAGTAGAAAGAACACAGGCTTTGTGGAAAGACTAGATATGGGTTTAAGTCCTGGCTCTTATGGTGTGACTTGAACAAATCACTAGAGCTCACTGAGTCAGTTTCTCAGAAGTAAAATCTGGTCACAGAAGTAAAATCTGCCTCCCTGTTGGTTTGGTACCAACAAGAGCAAGTGTGTGAAGAACTTTGTGAACTTATTCAGTGCACATGATGCTTATGTAAGAGACGATGTTACTCTGTGAGTCACTTTGCCCCTTGGTGGTGAGGCATGAAGGCAGTCCTGTGCCCAATGCGGATCGATCTGTCTTCTGGCAGCCAAGTGCAGGTGTGAACCTTGGTCAGCCCCACACTCTACTCCATCCCCAGCCCATGTTCTGGAACTTAGACTTGGATCAAAGTCTGGGGCAGCTCCCTAATTACCAAGGCTCTGGAAGCGTGACTGTGCCAGTAGGCTGTGAGTGCCTTCAGCAGTACATATTCTTACCCTCTCCTGCAGGTACTGCTGCGACCTTCACTCAGGTAGCACCCACAGGATTGCCCACCCTCTGGCAGCTCAGTGCAAAGGTGTGAACGCAGCTTGCTTGCTTCAGAGCCTCCCCACCATGGTGAGTCCCATGAGGGCCAGGGCTGGGGAAGGACATTGTGGGCTTGGAGCAGTTGGGGGGGGGGGCAGCGTCAGCTTTGGACACGCTGGCATTCCTCACACTCTGACTAAGAGATGCTGCTGCCTCCTAAGGTTCAGAGAGATCAAGACAGAGGATCCCTCTCAGGGTCTGGTCCCTGCTTCGCTCCATTTCCCAGCTAGTCCCAGCCAAGGCTGGGACTACAGCGTCTGAGATGCTCCAGGGTCCATCTGCCCTTGGTCCGGGTCATGTTTTTAGATTAGAACTTAAAGACATTAATAGTTATCTACGCTGTTATAGATACTGTATCAGTTACAGAAGGAGTCATGAAGAAGGGCCTGTTGCCTATGAGCTGATCTCAGGTGGGATCTACACTTCAGGAAGCTCAGCTTTGCAGAGCACTGCTCCGTGCCCACTCTAGAACTGATGTAAGCCAGAGCAAGCCTTGGACAAACAAAGCTTCAAATTTCAGCCTCCACTGACCAGTTATGTGACCTTTCACAGAAAAGTTGACCTCCCCGAGCCTCTCTCTCCTTGCAGTATGAAGCAGATTAAGGCCTGCCTCCAGTGACCCTGTAGTGTTTATCAGACCAGAGTCCTGGGGCCTTGCACAGAGCCCTCAGGCCACAGGGAACTAGGGATGGCACTGGTCCCAAGCCCTCTGATTGGTATGGGAGTGATTCAAATCCTAGGCAGGACAGGTTGTCAGCGATGGTGAGGAGTCACCTTCTTAGAGGGTGGTGGAGCTGAGGGTGGTGGAGCTGGAGGCTAGGTTTGGAGTTGAGACCAACCACAACTTTATTGTATATCCAGTCCCTGGTGGGCTCTGAGAACTACAAGCCCAAGCCCATGCCCTTGCTAGGGCAAGACCTCTGCCACTCCCAGCCTCTCTTCAGCCCCTGGGGAAAACAGCATGATGCATGGTAAGTCCAAAATAGAACCAGGCAGACCTGGACACTTGCTGGCTGTGTGACCTTGGGCAAAGTCATTGAACTGTGCTTCGGTTTCCTCACCAAGCTGATCGTTCCTCCATAGGTTGGTGGGGCGATTAATGAGACATGCTCAAAAGCACTGAGAAGCAGTCTGGCTCTCAGTCACTGCTCAGGAATGGAGCTGATATTATTCTGCTCTCTCCCTACTGACCTGGGTTTGTCTCCTTGTCCTGAAGCCGGTGGCTTGGCTCTGGCCCCTGCCAGACCCAAGAAAGGTCAAAGTTTACACAAAAGAACCTGCTGCCCACAGGCTTGAGGAAGGAGCCCCCGGAAGTGCACCCTGCCAGGACCTGCTTATCTGCAGGCTGTACCCCGCCCCGGGCCACCAGGCGGCACTAGAAGCCCAGCCCTCTGGGTCCCTTTTGAGCCCAGTCTCACTCTCTTTGGGACAAAAGCAGGCACTGCAAACCTCCTTCAGCTAGCTCCAGCTTTTTGGAAAAGGAAGCAGCTCTCTTTTATTCAGTGTTTACTGTAAGACAGGCATTCGCTCTATTAAATCCCCATGTTGCAGAGGAAGACTTGAAGCTCAGAACAGTGAGGTGTCTTCACTGAATTCTGATAGCTGATGGAGGCAGACGTGGGATTTGAGCCCAGTTGCCGGTGCCTGCAGAACCCAATCCTGCTGTAGCCCGTCACCCACTTCTTCCTCCACCTCCTGTGTCAGCTCCGCTGTAACTCAGGCCAGCCTGCCCATGACCCTCCCACCTAAGGCTCCGGGTGGCTGGGTTCCTCCAACTGCTTGTGAGACTGTGCCCATCTCTCCCTGATGGTCACTGGTAGCTCAAGTCATTCTAACTCACTGCCTGGCTTGGCCATCATACTGTTTCACACCTCCAGACCTTTTCTCTGCGCGCCTTTCACAAAGACTTCCAGGATCCTGGATTCGCTAAGGAGGCCGAGGGCCCCTGGGTGTCTGTGCATTTCTTTCATGTAGCACTTTCACAACGTGTGGAAATGATCTCTGTTTTCCGTCGAGGGCAGGGCCAGCATTCTGTTACCTCTTTACACCCGGTGCCTACCCCGGGCCTGGCACGCCAAGAGGCTTGGGTAGTATTGTTTGCCCTCATCAAAGGCCCAGTGGGAACAACAAATGAGTGTGGGGCCTGTTTGACCCCCTCCCCTGGCACAGGAGCCTCAGCCTAGGGCTTCTGATAAAGGCTTTTATTAATTTTTATTAATAAATTTTATTAATTTTTTTTTTACTCAGGACTCCCGTCCCCCATGTTCTTTGTTTTTTTGTTTGTTTGTTTTTATCCTCATCCAAGGACATTTTTCCATTTTTTGTTCAGGTAGAGTGGGAGGGAGAGAGAGGAAGAGTGAGAGAGAGAGAGAAACATCAATGTGAAAGGGACACATCGAGTGGCTGCCTCCTGCACGGCCCTGACCCAACCAGGGCTGGGGACAAACTGCAACCAAGGTACATGCCCTTAGTGGGAACCGAACCTGGGTCTCTCTGGACCGCAGGCCGACGCTCTAACTGCTGAGCAAAACTGGCCAGGGCATCCCCATGTTCTTTGTATTAAAGCCATTCTTCGGATGAATTTAAGCCATAGTCTAAAACATTTCATAAATTAGGCAAAGAATAAAAAGATACAAATTAAAAAGAAAACTCACAGAAATACCCACCTGATAAAATGACACCCCATTCTGTGTGTCCCTGGAGTTCTTGCCCCGATGCTGTTTCCCTGGAGTGCCTGCGTGGGCGTGGAAGAGGGGTCTTGGCTGTAGCAGTGTGACTGGGTAGGTGAGGGCCAGAGCACGCCCGGAACCCCGCCTCACTCCTCTCCCGTAGACCTCCAAGAAGCTGGTGAACTCGGTGGAAGGCTGTGCTGACGATGCCCTCGCTGGCCTGGTGGCCTGCAACCCCAACCTGCAGCTCCTGCAGGGCCACCGTGTGGCCCTCCGTTCTGACTTGGACAGCCTCAAGGGCCGAGTGGCACTGTTGTCGGGTGGGGGCTCCGGCCATGAGCCTGCCCACGCTGGTGAGTGCCCTGGGCGGGCCAGAGGTGGGGGGGAGGCTGCTGAGCAGAGTGGATGGGGTCTCCGGGGAGGTCGTCACTGATGTTTGGAGGTTCCGAGCCCAGCCCAGAGTCGGGCACCGGGTCCTGGTTCCTGCTCTCCCACCCCCTCGGGCTGTGATTTGGGACAAGGTATGGCTTCTCTCTGGGCCTCAATCTATAGCTTATAAAAGTAAGAGACTGGGCCAGATGATCTCTCAGGTCCTCCCAGCTCCGAGGGTCAGTGATTCTGTGAATCCTCCTGGCTTTCCAACTAACCCGTCACATCCTCCATGAAGCCTTCCTGACTCTTCTAGCCTAGAGCAGCATCTCTCTTCTGAATTCTCACCCTGCATTTTCACAACAACATGGACAGTCCTGGATTACTTTCTGTTCAGTGCCAGACCTGTTAGCTCCCCTTGAGAGCTCCTGGGGGCAGGGGCCAGGCTTTGTCCTCTGTGCCTTTCCTGTCTCCCTTCGGCAAACCCTTCCATTCACTCAGCAAACGTTAATGAGCGACCCACTCTGTGCCTGGACTTCTCTGGGCACTAGGGATGCAACGGGGAACCAGACAGACAAGGTGCCTACCCTCATGGAGCCTCTGCTCTCCTCTGAGGACACAGACAGTAACCAGATAAACACATAAGTGAAAGAGATCATTCCAGAGCGTGTGAGGTCATGAAGACAGAGAGCAGGGAAAGGAACAGCAAGCCGTGCGGCTGGGGAAGGCCCGTCCAGGGAATAACTCCTGAGTGAAGATCTGTGGGAAGCAGCCCAGGTGCTTTTCTAGCCTCAGGCATCCAGTGGGGCCACCAGACCGTGACGCTCAGAAGCAGGGAGGGCCGGGGACAGCAGGCACAGGTCCCCACCCAGCATCCTCTCCCCACCCATCTCCAGGTTTCATAGGGAAGGGGATGCTGACAGGGGTCATCGCAGGAGCTGTGTTCACCTCCCCGGCAGTGGGCAGCATCCTGGCAGCCATCAGGGCAGTGGCCCAGGCGGGCACAGGTGAGCCTGGCATGCGACAGGGGCTGCTGCCAGGTGGGCAGGCTGGGAGGGGAGGCGGGGCAAGTGCTGACGGGGCCCTATGGGCTGCTTCTGCAGCGGGGACCCTCCTCATCGTGAAGAACTACACTGGGGACCGGCTGAACTTCGGCCTCGCCCGGGAGCAGGCCTCGGCCGAGGGCATCCCCGTGGAGATGGTGGTCATTGGGGATGACAGTGCCTTCGCCGTGCTGAAGAAGGCAGGCAGGCGGGGGCTCTGTGGCACGGTGCTTATACACAAGGTGAGTGGATGGATGGATGGGACACGGCTGACCGGCCCCTCCCAGCCTGCTGTCTCCTGGCAGATCCCGGTACCTGGACCTGTCCGGCCGCCCCACCCCATAGGAAGCCATTCCCTCCCCAGTGCTCTCTAATCCAGAAAAGCCCCACGTCCCCTCCCCTACCAAAGCCCAGCATGTGGGCATAGTCCCAGGCCCTTCCCTTTCCATTCCCCACACCCAACCATCACCCTGTCCTGGTGCCCGTATTCCCAAATGCCTCTAACACACACATCCTCCTCAGAGCCCTGCCCTTCCTGTCCCAGCCTTTGTTCATCGCTCATCTGCTGTGCCCAGCTAGCCAGCTGCCTCCTCACTGTCCTCCTGCCTGCTTCCTGCCTACCCTCCCAGTCTTCCCACCGTACCCCAGAGGTGTCTTCTGAAGATATGTGTCTGATCAGGCTGCTCGCCTGCTGAAAGTCCTCTGCGGCTCCTAGAGTCAGCCCAGCTCCTTAGTCTGGTACCCACCACTCTTGCCTTCCTCCCTGAACTTTCCAAGTTCATCTCCCATAATCCCTCCCATCCTCTTAGGCTCCATCAGCACCTTTTCCCTCTACCACCAGGCTGTGATTCACTCTGGGGCTTTCCTGGTGCTGTATCTATGGCCTTAAACGTCCTTTCTCCGTCTAACTTGCTTTGGCCTGGCTAACTAACTCCTACTGTTCCCTCGAGGCCAGCTCTGGTTTTCCCTGTCACTGCACTGAGCTGACCTGGAGCCCCTTCTCAGTGCTCCCGTCTCATCCCATCACAAACTCGACCACCTCGCACCGAATGTTCAGCTTGTGTGTTTGCTTCCCCAACTGCTCCCCAGACTGAGTTCCTTCAGGAAGGGAATGTGGCTTAGTCACTTTCTTATTTCAGCATATACTAGGTGCTTGGCAAAAAGTGGGTGGGTGGGTGGATGGATGGGTGAGTGGATGGGTAGGTGGGTGAATAGGTGAGTGGGTGGTTGGATGGATGGGTGAGTGGATGGGTAGGTGGGTGAGTGGGCGGATGGATGGGTGAGTGGATGGGTAGGTGGGTGAATAGGTGGGTGGGTGGGTGGATGGATGGGTGAGTGGATGTATGGGTGAGTGGATGGATGAATGAGTGGATGGGTAGGTGGGTGAGTGGGCGGATGGATGGGTGAGTGGATGGGTAGGTGGGTGAATAGGTGGGTGGGTGGGTGGATGGATGGGTGAGTGGATGGGTAGGTGGGTGAGTGGGCGGATGGATGGGTGAGTGGATGGGTAGGTGGGTGAATAGGTGGGTGGGTGGGTGGATGGATGGGTGAGTGGATGGGTAGGTGGGTGAGTGGGCGGATGGATGGGTGAGTGGATGGATGGGTGAGTGGATGGGTAGGTGGGTGAGTGGGCGGATGGATGGGTGAGTGGATGTATGGGTGAGTGGATGGATGGGTGAGTGGATGGGTAGGTGGGTGAGTGGGCGGATGGATGGGTGAGTGGATGTATGGGTGAGTGGATGGATGGGTGAGTGGATGGGTAGGTGGGTGAATAGGTGGGTGGGTGGGTGGATGGATGGGTGAGTGGATGTATGGGTGAGTGGATGGATGGGTGAGTGGATGGGTAGGTGGGTGAATAGGTGAGTGGGTGGGTGGATGGATGGGTGAGTGGATGGGTAGGTGGGTGAGTGGGCGGATGGATGGGTGAGTGGATGTATGGGAGAGTGGATGGATGGGTGAGTGGATGGGTAGGTGGGTGAATAGGTGGGTGGGTGGGTGGATGGATGGGTGAGTGGATGGATGGGTGAGTGGATGGATGGGTGAGTGGATGGGTAGGTGGGTGAATAGGTGGGTGGGTGAGTGGATGGATGGGTGAGTGGATGGGTAGGTGGGTGAGTGGGCGGATGGATGGGTGAGTGGATGGGTAGGTGGGTGAATAGGTGGGTGGGTGGGTGGATGGATGAATGAGTGGATGGGTAGGTGGGTGAGTGGGCGGATGGATGGGTGAGTGGATGGGTAGGTGGGTGAATAGGTGAGTGGGTGGGTGGATGGATGGGTGAGTGGATGGGTAGGTGGGTGAGTGGGCGGATGGGTAAAGTGAGCCACAGTGTATATGCCCTGGAGAAAGAACTTCAGGAATCAGGAACCTGGCCATCAGCCAGCTGTGTGATATTAGACAAGTCATCCCACTTCTGTGGGCCCATTTCTCCATATGTTAAGTTCTTTCTGGCTCCAACAGACTGGAATTCTTAAAGATTCCTGGCAGGTTCACGGTGAATACAGGGCGACACTGCTCTGCCCTGAGCACAGTGGGCCAGGTTGCTGTGGCAGCACTCAGAGAGCCCCCCAGCCAACTAGAAACAGCCCCGGCCTGTCTTCAACCCCCAAATGCTACAGTGACTCCCTCCCCCTCGGGGGCTTATCTCTTCGTGGGTACAGATAGCAGGTGCCCTGGCCGAGGCAGGTGTGGGGCTGCAGGAGATCACAGAGCGGGTGAGCGTGATCGCCAAGGCCATGGGTGAGTGCCAGCCAGGGGTCGGGAGGCAGGGAGGGAAGAGGAGGCTGACCTTGGGACTAGCAGCCAGGTCCCAGCAGCTGCATGACAGGGCTTGCCAAGTTAGTCCCCAGGGATGAGGGAAGGTCTCTCTGGGGGAGCCATGGGGACTGGTAGCCTTGAGTTCCAGAGCGAGGTTTCTCTTCCATCTGAGATGGAGAGGCTGCCCTGTCTGATGCCAGCAGCAGGGTGGTCATCCCGTTCATACGTTTCTCATAGGAACCCTGGGGGTGAGCTTGTCCTCCTGCAGTGTCCCTGGTTCCAGACCCACCTTTGAACTTGCAGCTGATGAGGTAGAGCTGGGCCTGGGTAAGCTTATGTCCACCCTTGTCCTAGCCATGCCTACTCCCTGGGTTCTACCCACATCTATGCCCTGGGAGTCATCCACCTGTGCTTTCAGCTTCCCTGGAGCTATCACCTAGGTGGTCTTGGTGTTTTTAAATGGGCACTCAAAGCTCTCTGGCTCCGCCTGCCTGGTTTCTGCCTGCTCTGCCATCCACGCCCAGGGCCCCAGCCACGTGAGGCTCCATGCGCTGCCCACCTCCCTGCCTTTGCTCACGTCATTCCAGGGTCCTCTGCCGAATGCAGCCCTCCTTTCAAGGGCCACTCAGAGGCCACCCTAGCTGCAAGGCTTCCCTCTTCCTCCTCTGTGCCTCCAAGGTGATGGGCAGAGGCCTCACGTTTCTCGGCTGTGACTGCCTCTAGTTGAAGCTGCTTAACTAATGACAAGTTAAGTTCCTGGCTGTCTCCGCCACCGACCCACGCTCCTGGACAGCAGAAACTGTCTTTTTCATCATTCTGCCCATTTCACCCCCGCTCCCTGCATACACAGCACCCAGCCTGGCACTGAGTACATCTTGATAAAAACACGATGAGCAAATCCCCAGGCCTGAGCATGTCATCTATCCACAGGGATCCACGGGGAAGCTGGCGTGCGCCGGATCAAGGTAGGTGGACTCCCTGGCCCAGGCTGGTCTAAGGCCCAGGCTTCGGACACGGCTCACTCCTGGATCCTTCTGGCAGATGGCAACTGCTGACGAGATTGTGACACTCATGCTCGACCACATGACCCACTCCTCCAACGTGTCCCATGTGTCTGTGCAGGCCGGTGAGGGGCTGCTACACCTCTTGTCTCCCAGCCCTTCCTCCCCCCACTAAGGGGGCCCAGAGAGTCTCACCGGGGTGTCATGTCTGCCCACAGGCTCCTCAGTGGTGCTGATGGTCAACAACCTAGGTGGCCTGTCATTCCTGGAACTGGGCATTATCGCAGGTGCAGCGGTCCGCGCTCTAGGTGAGCCCCACCCTAGAAGAGACCTCCCAACCCCCAGAGCATCTTCCCTCCAGCCTTTCGAAGCTAGACCTAAGAAAAGCAGCTGAGGTGGGGTCTGCCATGGCCCAGAGCGTGGGCTGTGCAGCCAGACGAGCCCGAGTTAGGTCGTCACTCTCCCGCCTCATTGCTGCGAGTGTTGAGCCCGCCCCTGTCTGTAGAGAGGCTGCTGTGAGGATTGAACCAGGGTCAACATACATAACGCACTTGGCACAGTGCCCAGCACCTGTAAGAGCTCAGTAAACGAGACCTACAGTTACCCATCTGCCCCTCTAGAAGGGACGTTGCCAGGGAACGTGGTAATTTAGGGTGTTATAGAGGAATGCCCGAGCAGACCTGGCCATGTCCCTACTGACCTCAGGGCCCCAGGTTCCAAAGTCCAAGTTTTTCTTATTCTGTTTCTTTACCTGATGCTGGGGGAAGAGGGGGAATATTGCCCTTCCCACCTTCCCTGACGGACGTCCACACTTTGGTATTGCAGAGGGTCGTGGGGTAAAGGTTGCCCGTGCCCTGGTGGGCACCTTCATGTCAGCCCTGGAGATGCCTGGCCTTTCTCTCACCCTCCTGCTAGTGGATGAGCCCCTCCTGAAACTGATAGGTGAGACCTGGAACCTGGGGTCCTCCAAGCCAGGGCTCCATGTGGCTGGAAGGAACCAGGGGGTTTGGGGAGACCCCATGAGGGCTGACCATGACAGTCAGGCTCCAGCGCTCACATGACTGGAGGAGTTGGTATTAGGCTCCTCCCCAGAGGCAGTCTTTTTTTTTTTCCTTTTTTCTCCCAATTTTTATTAATTTATTTTTGTTACATATGATTCTCCTTTTTCCCCCCCGACACCCTCCTCCCCACCCCCACCCCCACCCCTTCTTCCCTTATATATAGTAGGTACTCAGTACTTGCTTTTTGAGATCGCGGGAACTGGGCCACCAAGTGGGGAATCCAGGCCCCACTTGATCCCTGGCCAGCCAAGCCATGTCTCAGAGAGTCATCTTGCTGTCACTAGATGCTGAAACCACAGCATCGGCCTGGCCCAATGTGCCCAGGGTCTCCGTGACTGGGCGGACGCGGACCCGGGCAGCCCCCACTGAGCCCCCAGAGGCCCCTGACTCCGCTGCTGCAGAAGGTACCAAGCCCTGCTGTTGGGGCAGGTGGCCCAGGGCATTGGCCTGAGTCCTGAAGGGTGAGGGGTGTGCAGGGACCCTAACACCCATATCCCCCACACCTCAAGTTCAGCTGTGAGAAGGGCCAGGTACACCTCTTCCCCACTGTCCTCCCCCCTCAGGCTTTGCCTTGAAGCGGACAGTGCTCGTGCTAGAACAGGTGTGCAGGACCCTCCTGGGCCTGGAGGGACATCTGAACGCCCTGGACCGTGCTGCCGGCGATGGGGACTGTGGCACCACCCACAGCCGCGCTGCCAGAGGTTGGTGCCAGGGCCCCTCTGGGGTCCGGAGAGGGGCTGGTGTCACATTGATTCTGAGATTTTGGCATTTTGTGAACTAGAACAATTTTAAAAACATTTGGAGTGCTGACAGGGGTTGACAACTTTTCTTTTGCTAAACATGGTCGTTCGCAAAACCTAGCACCCTTTCTATCTATTTTTATAGTGAGAAGACCCTTCTAACACTACAAACATGGGAAAGGTGTTATTGTAGAATAAAATGTAATCTCTTGCAGTGAATAATAACTTTAGATTCAAAGGGAGCTCATTCTATAGTCCTTATTTTTCTCAGCTTACCTGGATTAGTGAACAGTTTTAATTGTCCAGCATCATTCTGTCAAGAAAATTGTATTTTGCCCTAGCCAGTGTGGCTCAGTTGGTTGAGCATCGTCCCATGCACCAAAAGGTTGCTAGTTTGATTCCTGGTCAGGGCACACGCCTGGGTTCAGGCTCCATCCCCAGCAGGGAGCGTGCAGAAGGCAGCCGATTGATGTTCCACGCTCACATCAGTGTTTCCCTTTCTCTCTTCCTCTCTTAAAAAAAAAAAAAAATCAAAAATATATTTTTTAGCCCAGCTGGTGTGGCTCAGAGGTTGAGTGTCGACCCATGCACCAAGAGGTCGCTGGTTCCATTCCCGTCAGGGCACATGCCCAGGTTGTGGGCCAGATTCCCAGCGGGGGACATGCAGGAGGCGGCCAATCGATGTTCTGTCTCATCGATGTTTCTATCTCTCTTTCCCTCTCCCATCCTCTCTCTCTAAAATCAATAAAGACAAAAATAATTTTTTTTGAAGAAACATGTATTTAGTGCTTGTCATGGGCAAGGCAACTCTGAGGATACAATAATGAGCAAAGCAGATCAAAGTCACTGCCCTTGTGGCTTGTGTTCTGGCAGGGAAGCAAACAGTAAGCAGCCAGTAAGACAAAGGACGCAGCGCAGAGGGCTGAGGAGGAGCAGGGAGCAGGGAGGCGAGGTGCGCAGTGTCGGGTGAGCTGCCGAGGTCCCTGCCGGCGCCCGCACTCCTCTCCAGACTGCACGCGGGTTCTCCTCACGTGGGCGCCCTCAGCCTCTTCTGGGGCCCATTCCTTCTGTCTGGCTGTGGGGCCTGGGTGTTTGTTGGGAGGGAGGGTCTCTGAATTCCTTACCATCTCTCTGCCTGCAGCAATCCAGGGGTGGCTGAAGGAGGGGCCACCCCCTGCCAGTCCTGCTCAGCTTCTCTCCAAATTGTCCCTCCTGCTACTGGAGAAGATGGGAGGCTCATCTGGGGCAGTGAGTGCCGGCAGTCCCCAGGGCAGAGGGCTGACACGGGTCCCGGGTGGGCTTAGGCCCAGGCCAGACCTGAGTGTTCAAATTCTGGTCCTCCCAGCTCTATGGCCTATTCCTGACTGCGGCGGCCCAGCCACTCAAGGTCAAGACTGACCTCCCCGCCTGGTCGGCTGCGATGGATGCGGGCCTGGAAGCCATGCAGAAGTGAGCCCGAGCCCTGTGCCTTAGACCAGGAGCCGGCTGGGGAGGTGGTTGATGTCACCTGTACCCAGCCAGGCCCTGTTCCACCCCAAAGTGATTCCCTACAGTGAACCTCATTCTCTTCCCCTGCAGGTATGGAAAAGCTGCCCCAGGGGACAGGACTATGGTGTGTATGGGCCCAGCCCCTTCCCCCTTTGATTATAGAGGCCCTGAAGGCCACCCCCAATGACAGGGCCTGTGCTCAGCTCTCCTCTCCCTCACCTTGTCCAGCTGGATTCCCTATGGGCAGCAGGACAGGAGCTCCAAGCCTGGAAGAGCCCAGGGGCTGATCTGTTCCAAATCCTGACCAAAGCAGTCAAGGTGAGTGAAGCTGGGCCCAGCCGCCAGGGAGACAGGCTTGGATCGAGTTAACATCCTTCCTTTACCTCCGTTTCTGCCTCTACAAATGGAGATGGGTACCTGTCTCTGAGGGTACTGTGAGGCTACAGAGATAAACAGAGCCCCATTGTGTACCTGGGACATAGCAGGCCCTCAGTAAAGGGGGCCCTTGCCCTGCTACAGGCAGGAGGGGACCTCTCTCCCCTGGTGACAGTACAGAGGGTGCCGGCAGAAGTGGGACAGGAGGGTCCAGGGTGGATGGTGGCTTGTCCTTAAACCCACTCTTCCCCCTCCCCTCAGAGCGCAGAAGCTGCCGCCCAGGCCACCAAGAACATGGTCGCCGGAGCGGGAAGAGCCAGCTACATCAGCTCGGCACAGCTGGACCAGCCGGACCCCGGGGCAGTGGCAGCCGCAGCCATTCTCCGCACCGTCCTGGAGGTGTTGCAGAGCCAGGGTGTGTGAATGCCTCCCTGGTCTCCTGCCTCTGGCTGCTGTGCAGGGCCTTCCCATCACTTCCTTCTGCCTTCCAGCTGTCACCCTCCCTGCCCCTCAGGCCCATCCTCTTAGCTCAGCAGGGAATCCCCTACCAGCCTCCAGGACTACTCCAGTGCAGAACCTGCAGGCCCAGAGCAGGTCACCTGCTCAGCACTGCCCTTTACCTCCTCAGGGAGTGAGGTCCTGGGGTCAGTCTGCTCTGTCCCCAGCCAACCCGGGGCTTCAGCAGTGAGGCACTTTCTTTGGTGGCACGGCACAGTCTTTAGCTGGTGTTGCTGACTCGGTTTTAAGACTCTGGGAAAGGCTTCCTGCACCTGAACCTGAGCCAGTGTGGAAAAGCAAGCTAATAAACCACATTGAAGCAACAGAGCTTCTGCTTCCTCTGAGGGACCTTATTCTAAGTGTGTCAGCAAGTGGCCCCACTGCTGAGACTTCACTCCCTGGTTGAGATGATCATGACCCATCTCCTACCACCAGAGACCCACAGGCCAGGTCTGCACAGCTGGACTGGTTCCACTGGGATCCCCAATCCTGTCCTCCTCCTGATACACACCACACCCGGTGGCTTGCTTTTCTCAGCACTGAATAGAATCCACTGATTCTTCAAGAATCAGACGGGCAGACAGAACACCAAAATGAAAAGAAATCATATGGTAAGGCTCATGGTAGAACAGAAACTGTGCCCAGGCCAGCTCCTGGGTCTCTAGAGCAGCGGTTCTCAACCTTCCTAGTGCCGCAACCATTTAATACAGTTCCTCGTGTTGTGGCGACCCCCAAGCATAAAATTATTTTTGTTGCTGCTTCATAACTGTAATTTTGCTACTGTTATGTCTTAGGCAACCCCTATGAAAGGGTCGTTCGACCTCCAAAGTAGTCGCAATCCACCGGTTGAGAACCGCTGCTCTGAACGCTGCTCTGGAGCAATCACTGCTGGTATTGCTGAGCTGGTGCATGGCAGACAGGACAGCACACTCCCGACCCATACTCAGTGCAGGGGAACAGATACAGGGACTGGTGTGGACTCACATGGACACGGCTTGGGATCCTGGTTCTGCTTCAAAGCAGCTACATAAACTCAGTCCTGTTATTTAGCCTCTTGGAATCTGGAAAGTCAGAATGGTACCCATCTCATGGGGATGTGAAAAAGGATTCAAATGAATTGATGGTGAAGCCCCCCGCACAATTCAGGGTCTCACTCACTGAGTTCCTGTTATCACTGGTGTCTGCATCCAAGTCCTTCCAGGTCATCTGCTCCACCACCAGGGGGCATCTACAGCTGGTCACACTGAGAGGGGGGGCCCCCCCATCACTCACTTTGCCTCAGCTTGGCTGCAGGCTCCCTCAATCCCTGGCTTCTCTGACCAGGGTCTCCTGTCCCATCAGCCACCCCATGGGTCCCCTGACCACAAGGCGCAGTTACCAGTGTGCACAGACGCACACACCCAGCAGCAGGGAAGGAGACTGACTTCAGACACCTGGCCTGTGGATCCCAACTCTGCCACTTCCTGGTTGAGTAATCTCGGGCAAGTCACTTATCCTTGTGTTCCAGAGTATACAACAGGAAACATTTCCTTCCTCGTGAGATAATGAAGTGCTCAAGGGCCATTCACTGTTAGGGACATGCACGCATTCAGGAGTAGCATGTGACTCCAGGAAGACAATCAGAGGGCTCTTTGGTGCCTTCTGTCTTGTCCCTCTTAAGGTCTCAGGGTCAGAACTGTCCTGAGGCTTTTACACATTGCTCATTTAACCACAGTCTCATTCAGCAGAAAAGGCTTTGATTCTTAAGAACATGTTTAATGAAATCAGACTTGGTAAACAGGCAGAATGTCTACCCTTATGGTAAAGAGGGGTGGTCATGTGACCGAGGTGCCTGGCAGTCATCGCAGTGGCTTTGGAGTCTTCAACCACTAGAGAGGTTCAGTCATAGTCGTCCTGCCAGCATCTGGCCACGTGGGGTTGGGGTGGCCAGTCGGCCTCATTGCCACTGGCCAGAGAGTAAGCACACGCCGGACCCCAGGCACCATGCTGCTTGTCTTCCATACACAGCAATGTGGCACCTGAGACCCAGCAGGACTCATCTGAAGGAGACAGGAAAAGCCATAGTGCCAACATGTAGGGGAGGAGCCAGACTCCTCCCTCCCTCCCTTTCACACTCTGGCATGATGCACAGGACAGGGTTTGGCCATGCCAGCAGCCACTGTGGGCGGCAAGTGAGACACTCCGATGCTCAGCAAAAAACACCTTTGAAGGTGACCATGGCTCCTAAGCCATGCTAGGTACAAAGCACCACACCTTTGGCATGTGTCACGGTGAGCTAGAGTGTGAAAATTAGCTAGCCTAAGGCCCTGCCAAGAGAGCAAGGTTGAACCTGCCTGGGATCAGGCAGGGAAGCCCTCAATGGCGAAGGAAAGTAAAGGTAGTCTGAGGCACCCCTGCTCCTCATCACTGTTGGGACAGCAGGTTACCAGGGCTTGTTGGGCTGCCTGACAGTGACAGGCATGGAAGTCACAGGGACAGGCCAGGATCCAGGTCCCAGCTGTAGCAGCAGCTAGAAGAGGTGGAGCCACAGTCACCATGGACTCAGACACAGAAGGCAGAGACATGAACCAGAACTGCAAAGCGCAGTCAGCGCCTCAGCTTCTCTGCACAGGCTGCTCTGCCATTCTCCCCTCTCATCCCCCCCTCCCATCCCCTCCCTTCCCTTCCCTCCCAATGCTCCCGCCAGCCTCATGTCCAGGTGGGCCAGATGGAAGTAAGGGCAGAGGAAGCCCGCCCCGTGGTGGGTGCCTAACTGCACACATTCAAGGGGAAAGCTCACGGGCATATCGCCTCCCTCACTTTTCACATCACAGATTGCACTTGAGTCTGGCCCATTTGAGCTGTTGGGATTTCCTACCACATCCGAGGTGTCTAAAGGGGAAATCAACTTGACTTCAGCCAGCGATCAGGAGAGGTGTGAGCAACCATGGCGAGAAGGGCCTGTGGAAATGGAGGACCTCAGGAGTCGATGCTGAAATGGGTGCAGAAGCCAAAGCCACGAAGAAAAGCAGCGAGCAGAGTTGATGGAGAGAGCAGGCCCGACACGGAGTCAGGGACAGGTGTAGGCTCAGAGCCCACAGCAAGTCTGCTGACAAAACCAGACGGAAGCCCCAGGAAGAGCAGAGCTTCTGAGGGGAGTCCAGACTGCACCCCCAACTGCTCCTGGGAGCCCCTTTTCGCTTCACTCCCTTTCACGCAACAGGGGCTGGAAAGACAGGCAGATGCACGGGGGTTAATGGCATAACATCAAAATGGCCCTTGACCTGCAGGCATCACACCAGGTCTGAGCTGTTCACACAGACCCCCAGCCTGCAGGGTAGTCCCCACCCAAGTCACCACATCTTTCAAGGAAGCCCCAAAGTCCCTCAGCCTGATACACACCCCATCTCACCCATCCCTCAGATGCCTGAGTGGCCAAGAACAGGCAAACCTGCCAGAGACGCTCCCATCCCACTAGACTAGCCCCAAAGCTGAAAAAGTAGAAGTTACAACCCCCCTCATCATGCTCAAGGCCTGCCTTAGGAAAGATAAGGCCACGCTTCCCTCATGAAACCACAAGAACTTGGGGGAGTAACCCCTGTCCTCTCCCAGGGGACAGTCCTTCAGGAGCCCGGAGCCTGAACCCCAGAGCCTGAGCTACTACGATGGCGGGGATATGCTGGGCTGACGACCAGTGCGCCCCATCAGCTAACCTAACCCCACCTTCTGGCTACTTGGTTTCCCACCACATTACTGGATTAGTCTTCCTGGTAAGACCCAAGCCTTTCCTGATGACCCTTCTCTAGACCCAGCCCCACCCCAACCTGGCATGGGAGACCAGGACCCCATACCTGTCCTTCAGTGGTGATCCCCACTTGCGGGCGTTTCCAAGACGAAGCCTGAAGGACATAGAGCACCAGCAGCCCGAAGATCACCACCAGCATCCCAGTGCTGTTGGCAAAGACAGCCTCACCGGGCAGGCTGGAGTACGGCTTGGTGGCATTTTTCCTGAAGATGATGATATAATGGGGGCCCTTGAGAGACTCTTCCACCTGTTTTACCCAGGGGAGAATCAGTGCCACAAACAGGGTGGGAAAGCTTCAGGACCTGGGACCCAGAATGTTGACCTATTTTCTAAGTCCCAGCCACAACAAACACCTGCAGAATGACTTTTACCTGTGAGGGAACTCTGTGCCTCGGGTCCCTCAGTGGCAATGACAACAGTATCGATGTTGTAAGGCAATTAGAGGATTAAATTTAAGGTGCTTAGAACAGTTTGACACATAGTAGGTGCTAAGTCAATCTGATGTGAGAGAAATACCTACTGACCAATTTACCAATCTCAACCTAAAGAAAGACCATCACCTTCCAGATCAGGAATGCACCAACTCTACAGGCCCCGCCTCCTTTCAGTGGGTCCTGTGATCATAGGGCACATCTTCTGAAGACCCTATTCTTTCCCTCCACCTTAGTGCTGCGGCCCCATACCACTCACAGGCTGAAGAAAAGCTTCTCGTTAATGCCAGAAATGACAGACGCAATGGCCAGAGAGAGGATGGAAGCTCCAAAGAAGACGTGGAGAGGTTTAAGGAGGCTGCGCAGCCACACGGACGCCCAGGGCAGCAGGAAGACGGTGAAGCCCAGGAACCACTGTGGACACAGGGAGAAGTACCTGACCCACCTGTGCGTGACCAAAGGCACCCCACCAGTGCCTCCTACCGGTCCTAGAACTTTTCCCTTCTTTCCCAGCTCAACCCTCCCACCAGGAATTGTCCCAGCACCATCGAGCTTCTTCGATGTGGTTTGTTTCTCTTACACAAGTAAGAACCTTTTACGAAATACTTAGCTACAACCCCACTCTCCTGCAAACACAGTCATCCTGGTTTGCCTCTGCTTCCTTCCAGTCCTGGCTCATAAAACTCCCCTGCTCAGAGCACTCTGGGATGACAGACAGGCAGTGTGATGGGTCAGAGCAGGAACAGGGTGAGTGCGGGAACCACCGATCTCCCATGGCCCTTTAAACTGCCCATTCTACAGGGTGTGCCCTGCAAAGGCCATCTCCAGGCAATGAGCAGAGGGACTATTTGGTGCAGATGTAAGCGAAGCCATGGCTGCTATCCAGCAGTGGGAACTCAAAGGAAGGTGGAGAGCACCCACCTGGCAGGCGAAGAGGAAGACGGTGGTGATGCCCAACCAGCTGTGCAGGGAGTAGAGGTTGGTGATATTTTTATTGTTGTGATATCTAAAGACAGCCACCAGCCCCAGCACGGTCAGGATGAAGGCCATCAGATGCAGGGATGCGTGGGTGATTTTCCAGGGCAGCTTGGACCCCACCCATGACTGGGGCAGGCGGTACACCAGTGATGCTGCAGGAGAGAGCAGTCCCAGGGGCTCAGCCTCCTCCCCTTGTGCTCACCACACATTGGGGGAATTACCCTGACATGGTCCCACACAGCCTCCCATCGAGAAGAAGGAATTGCTAAGACATTGATATCTACTGGTCAGTGCCTTCTTTTTTTTGTTTGTTTGTTTGTTTGTTTGTTTTGTTTTTAATCCTCATCCGAGGACATTCTTCCATTTGTTTGTACAGATAGAGTGGGAGGGAGAGAGAGAGGGAAACATCGATGTGAAAGGGACACATCGAGTGGCTGCCACCCGCACGACCAACCAGGGCTGGGGACAAACTGCAACCGAGGTACATGCCCCTAGCGGGAACCGAACCCGTGTCTCTCCGGACCGCAGGCGGACACTCTAACTGCTGAGCCAAACTGGCCAGGGCTGGTCAGTGCCTTCTATCCGTGCATCACTTCTGGGACACCAGCCAGCCATGAAGGCGGGAGAGAAGGGACAGTGATGAAAAGGGAGGAGCAAGTTTCTTGGACCTGCCCTTCCGTCATTAGGATACTAAGGGTGGCTGAAGTTTTACTGGAGCACTTTTTTATTTATTTTTATTTTTTATGTGCACTTTTGTAGGTTAAAAACCAATGTCACTCATTATCTCATCCAGCTGAACTCTCACAAGCTCAGTTATCAAGAACACAGGCTGTAAGGTTAGATAACCTAGGTCTGCCTCTTAGCTATTTGGCATCTTCTTTTTAAATCTGTTTCCTCATTGTAGAATGGGTATAACAATAGAGCTCACCTCACAAGCTCCTTGTAAAAACAAACTGGGATGATGTATCTGAAGTACATGAGGTAAGCTGCTATGATCATTGTCACCATCATTCCCAAGGCCCAACTCTGAATGCATGAGGCAAAGATGGGTCTGGCAGGAGTAAGCAGATCCCTTATGTGAGGATCCACTATGCCATCAGAGGCTTCCTGTTCCCTAGAGCAGGGATGGCAAACGACAGCTCACAGGCCAAATCCAGCCCACTGCCTATTTCTGAAAATAAAGTTTTATTGGAACACAGCCACGCATGTGTTTTCATGTTGTCTGTGGCTACTCTCACAATACAGTAGCAGAGCTGAGTGACGCAACACAGATCACATGGCCTGCAAAGCCTCAAGTATATATTACCTGGCCTTTTATAGAAAAAGTTTGACAACTCCTGCCGTAGCGATCTGTAAAGCTGCCCTTCTCACTATCTCTTCCTCCAAATGACACCTGGGCCCAAAGATAGCCCAACCCACCCAACCTCCTGAACCCAACAATGACAAAGGCCAGCCCTGCAGAGGGATTGCTCTGCTCTGCCCAGGCCTGGGCCACAGCATGTCTGCCATGCTGACCTCATACTCACCAGCACTGTAGACCACCACCATGCCAGCAACCATGAGCACCGGGTGACAGTTGAACATGAGTATGCTGCCATCCCAGGCAAATCCACCGTGCCAGCTATGCATCCAATAGATGGTAAAGAGTATGGATATCAAGCCCAGGGACGACAGCGCCAGGACAGACAGGTGAAACCATCCCGCAGCCATTCTGGACCAGGCAATCCTAGAAGAAGCAGCAAGCGCATGTCCCTGCTGGCTCAGGTGCCCCCACACACCAGCTGAAGACCTTGCTCTTGGTCTGAAGGGTAGACACTTTTTGTTTCAGTTCCCCTGCCATCAACCTGGGCACTGCCCCATGAGGCCATCACGGTTAGGTGGGCCTGATCTCTGGTTAAGGACGGGGACTGAACCAGAACCTGGCAGCACACAGTACACCCAGACAGGCCTGGGGCTGGCCCTGAGAGGTGTCTCCTCTGATGTGGCCAGATGTCAAGGCTCTGGGCCCAGAGCCCTTGGATTAGTCTCCCCGCACAGGACCCGATGGTAAAGAATTACCTCCTCACAGAAAAGAAGGGATGGGAATCAAACTCCAGGCTAGATCACACGAATGCCCAGGCCCTCACTTCTAACATCCGGAGGCAAAGTCACAATCAACAAGGAGCAAACACACTTCTATTAGGCCAGCCATGAGAAAGTCCCTTGGGCTCCCACTTCTACAGAAAAGTTCTTCCCCAGATGGTGAACTCTGTGGACCAGTCCTCCCAATGGGGGAGGTAAGATCAGGCCTTTACCCACACTCTACACCTTGAATTGGGTGATGGCCCTGGGCTAGTCCCCAGGCCTGAGACTTCTCCTTTCTCTTCTTCTGGGGAAAGTCCAAAGGAGAAAAGGGGAAGCAAGAACTCATGGTCTAGAAAGCAAGAGTTTACAGCACAGCCTCATGTAAAGTAACTGTGGTGAAATGACATAAAATGAAACCACTTCTACCAAAGGTCTATTGATATAGACAAATGTTAAGTTCCTACGGCATCTCAGCAATGTTAAACGAAACATTCAAGGACCCGCTTTCTGTGGAAATTTTGAGATTTCCACATGTACTTGATAAACTCAGAAAGCAACTCTGGTCTCAGGCATGGAGAATGTGAGGCCCGGAGCAGCCACCCTAGGAGCCAGGCAAGTGGGCATGAGGTTAGCGGTCAAGTGCACAGTCAAGGACCACCCTGGCCTTCAGCTAATGTGTAGGCAGCATGGCTCCAGTTCTCAAGGCAATCACACTATCCCATGGACTCACACAAAGAAGGTGACACTGTGGCTTCCTGCATTTGGGGTCCCTCGATCTGAACCAGCTAACAAAGAGGAGGACCCTAAAATAGCCAAGAATTCCCAAGGAGATAAACTCTTGCCTCCTTACCTTGAGATCTAGAGTCTGGCTGACAGGGTGGTGGTCTGGGCTCTAAATCTTAGGAAGTGAGGCCCCTTGAGCAGATCACTTACCACGTGTAGGACTCAGTCTTCTCAACTGGAAGAAAGGCACGGCAATAAGAACAGAATTCAAAGACAGGCAGCTATGAGCAGACATCACAATGGAACCTTACACACATGATGCCTTTTACTCCAATTAACCTTGTGAGGAGTTATCATCCCCATTTTATAGATGAGAAAACTAAGACTCAGAAAGATTAAGTAGCTGGCATTTAGACCCAATAAGTGAGCAGGGAGTTTCAAACCCATATTTGTTTGGCTTCAGGGCCCATGTTTTCCTTGACCACAGGTTATCAGAAGGTCAAGTGAGGAAATGTATGTAAGGACACTGCGAAAGTAAAGTATTATACTTTTCTTAGTAAGGTCACAGCACTTCATCCTATTAACAAAAACCTGAACTCGTGGGCCTCGTGCCTGCCCAGGCCTCTCAGTGGCCCTGACTCTATGCTGGGCCAGCTCTCTCCATGCCAGGTGTCCACTTAACCAAAAACAGACACTGAGCTCTCATGTGACGACCCAAGTTGGCAATAATCTCTGATAAAGGGTGACCTGAGGTCTGGGAGGATAAAACAAGTTTCCGTGAGACTGGAAGGAGAAAATCAGGCCATTAGCTTCCTAGAAGCTTCATGATTCAACTACTGAGCTCAGAGTTGTCCCCTTAGTTCCTGCAAGAGCAGAGGAAATTTCAGATATTCAGCCACCCCCACCGCCAGTGAAGTGTTGTCAGCATAAAGGACCTCTTGGTCAGTAGGCTCCATTCATCAAACATCTACTTTCAGCATTTTTTCCTCTCTTAAAGGAAAAAATAATACAATCCAAAAGGGGCTGTATCCTTTGGATTACTGCTCTGGGACAGTCTTGGAACAGATTTGGGGATTTTCCTGACAGAGGCTGTCAGTACACAGCACACAAATGAGCCCTTCCTCTGCCTGAAATAGAGAGCCAAAGCAGAGAAAAAGGAACAATGCAGTGAAAATTGCAATCCAAATGCTAAGAATATCCTCTCATTTACCCTGAGAGCAGGTTGTACTAATTTCAGGATGTGCTCCCCACAGATGGTCTCAAATTCCACCCTCACTCTGTGGGGCCCCCCTTCTAAAACAGAAGTCAGCAAACTCTTCTGGGAAGGGCCAGGATGGTGAATATTTTAGTCTTCGAAGGCCATCCAGTCTCTGTCACAACTATGTCATCAACTCTGCTGATGTAGTGCAAGAGCAGGCATAGACAATACCTTCACAAATGCATATAGCTGTGTTCCAAAGAAACTTTATTTATGTACACTGAAATTTTAGTTTCATATGTCACAAAATATTACCATTTCATGTCTTTTCAACCATTTAAAAATGTGAAAACCATTCAGGAGAACCACATTTGGCCGGTGGGTGAAGTTTGTTGACACTGATTTAGAGTCTACTCTCCAACCTAACACTCTCTGCAATTACCTTGGCAGAAACCATTCTCCCAGGCTGCACGAAAACAGATCACGCCCTGGGATAGAAAATGGGTATAGGCATACCTCGGAGATATTGTGGGTTCGGTTCCAGACAATAGCAGTGAAGCAAGTATCAAAATAAAGCCAGTCATGTCTTTTTACTGGAGGGTCTTGCCTTCGTTTGTAAAAAACGCAACAGCTGTGAAGTGCAACAAAGCAAGCGCAACAAAGGGAGATATGCCTGTGTATCCCATTTAGCCCTTAGATTTAGGAAAAGGCTCTATTTCAAACTCTTACAATGTTCCTTTTATAATTTAGGACTATAAATAGATGAAAGAACAGTCTTTGTGTTGCTCTCCCTTCCCAGATGAATAGTGGGGGCTTTAAGAATCCAGAATCTCAAGTCCTAAACTCAGAAATATTGGGCTCAGAGTGCTCTCCTTGGAGGATGCCCATGCTCTCCTTTTCTCAGGTGTGTACTTTTGCTCTTTAAACTCTAAGGGTCCCTGTAAGACTTGCAACCAGGAGAGCAGTGGGAAGTGGCAGCTTGTCCTGGCCCTACTCCCTGAACCTCTCTCCAAGGCCCCCTTTTCTCTGACTTTTCAGTGGGCCAAAGCAGCCCAGCCTTGGCCACATGTCACTATGACTTCTACTTCTCCGTGAGTCCACACAGCCCTGTGTGGCTCACTTCTTTCCTATAACGTGTCTAGAAAGCCAGAACAGCACTGCCTGGGCTCTCCTCCATTGCTTCTTCTAGCCTAAGCCTTCCTTTGTTTCACTGTCCCAACTTTAATAAACGTATTCTCAAAAAAAAAAAAAAAAGAAAGAAAAATACTGGACTCAAAGAAGAAATGGGACTTGGCCAAGGTGAGTAGCTGAGCTGGTACAGGAATCCCTGTTCACTGCCACTCAGCTCCAGGGACTCCTCACTTCCTGGTGCAGGTCCTGTAAAGTCTGGACTTAGGAGTGAGGGGCCCCACGTTCCAGTCAGGAGGTAGATAAGCAAAGCCCTCCTTAGCGCCAGAGGGATTCCAGAGCCACCCTTCGGACTATGCTGTGCGCTGACTCGGGGTGTCGGGAAAACCATTCCGGGAACACCGCCGGGGCCAACCCCTGACTCCTCTGCTGGGACCAAGGAGGTCAACATTAAGGTGAGGGGCACCACCTGCTGACTGCAGCTTCTGAAGACATTCCGTGTCTTTACAACCACCACTGGTGGAAGGATGAGCACGGAGAACGGAGTCCGTTTCCTAAAAGAGGAAACTGAGGCCGAGCGAAGGGTCGCGACAGTGCGAAGCGAGGTAGCAGCGGCGGCAGCACTCGAACACAGGTCCCAGAACTCCCAGCCCGGGCTCTTTCTCACCCCCGAAACTTCAGTGGGACGCAGTGAAGTTCGGGGTCTCCGAGACCCGCCTCTGCCATCCGGCGCGCGCCGCCGTCCTCGAGGTTCCTAGGTGAATGGAGCCGGAGCCTCCGTGAGAAACCCGCACACCCCTGACCCGGCCGCCCTAGAACAGAGCGGCCGGGCCGCTCCGCCCTTTTATAGGCCCGCAGCACTTCCGGTCGCGCGCGTGGCCGCCTGGGAAATGAAGTCCCGAGTCGCCCGCTCCTAGCGCGCCAAGCGGCTGGTTCCGACTCCGCTTCCTCCGCGGGCGTCTGTTCCCCAAGCCCAGGGCCGCAGGGACCAGCAGCGCCGTCGCGGGTCTGCCCTGTCCCTCACCCCCATCCTGTGGAAGCGGAAATGTTCGGGCCGACACGGAGCCTCTGGCCAGGGTCTGGCTCTCAGCTGGCCCGACGCGGGCGGGGCGGGAGGCCTAGGTCGGCGGCAGGGAGGGCCCGAGAGGGGTGGGCTCAGGAGAGCGGGGACCCAAACATGGCGACGCGGCTGTCCACACAGCGGGCAGAGAAGGCCGGTGATAGGCAGGTAGCCCGGCGCAGACGGAGCCCCCCGCCTCCATCTACTTCCGGAATTTAAAATCGGTTTCCGGAAGCCCGGGCGGAGTCCCCATGACAACCGACGTGGGGGCTTTGAGGTGAGCGTGCTTGCTGCCTAGTAGATGAGTGTCTAGAAGTCGGAATTTTTGTTACATTGTTTTGGTTTTGGGCGTCTGGCCAAGGCAGCCCCATTCTTAAAGTGGATTTGGGAAGGTGCAGGAAGTGCCCTGGGGACGAGGGGAAGCGGCAGCGAGCGGTGGACTGAGCCCGAGACGCCCCATCCTTCCGCAGCGATGGCGGGGGCGGGGGCGGGTCTCCGGGCCGGCCGCACAGCGGCCCTCCGCTGGCCTGTGCAGGAGCGGCTCTGAGCCCCGCGTGGGTGTCACACCTGGTCGTGAATCCCGGCGCTGCTCTCCGACTTGAACTCTGACTCTGCCCTTGCCCGTAGGATGGGGGTAATTCCTGCCCACCTTGCAGAGTAGCCGCGAGGGTTAGAGGAGGTTATCTTGGTTGACCAGTTAATTGTGGTGCTGGTAACTAGGCGATAACTGTCACTGTGTGAGGAGTGAGAAACCGGGTTCATGCATCCACCCAGGTGGGACTTCACCAGGTGACGTGGGCAGGTTCCTTAACCTCTCAGAGCCTCTGTGTAAATGGGGATTATAATCATAATAACAGCTACTGCTCAAACTGGGTGAAGGAGTAAATAAAGTAATAAATATGCAAAGAGTTTGTAAATTGTAAAACGTTTTACAGATGCTAATTTAATCTCAGTCTCAACACCTAAAAGCATTTTGAAATTTGTTTATAATATAATTTATTGTGTGTTTTGTTACTCATCATCTGAGGATATTTTTCCAGAAATTTTTTTTTTCTTTATTGATTTTAGAGAGAGAGGAAGTGAGAAGGAGAGAGAGAAACATTGTTGAAAAAGAACATCCAGCCCTGGCCGGTTTGGCTCAGCGGTTGGAGCGTCCGCCTGCGGTCCGGAGGGACCCGGGTTCAGTTCCCAATAAGGGCATGTACCTTGGTTGCAGTTTGTCCCCGGCCCTGGTTGGTCGTGCGGGTGGCAGCCATTCTATGTGTCCCTTTCACATCGATGTTTCCCTCTCTCTTCCTCTCTCTCCCTCCCACTCTATCTGTACAAAAAATGGAAAAATGTCCTCGGGTGAGGATAAAAAAAAAAAAAGAAAAAGAACATCCATTGTCAGCCTCCTGCATGCCCCCCACTGGGGATCAGGCCCACAACCTGGGCATGTGTCCTGACCAGGAATTGAACTGGAGACCTCTTGGTGCATGGGTTGACGCTCAACCACTGAGCAACACTGTCCGGACTCCATAAATTTTTTAGAATGGAAGGGAGGGAAAGGAAGAGAGAGAGAGAAACACAGCAATTGGTTGCCCTTGCACCACCCCAACCAGGGCCAGGGATAGAACCTGCAACCCAGGTATGTGCTGTTGACCAGAAATCAAACCCAAGACCCGTCAGTCCATGAGCCGATGCTATAACCGCTGAGCCAAATTGGCCATAGCTGAAATTTATAAATTTAATCCAGATGGAGGGGTCACAGGACACCCCCAGAGCAATTCCTGAGTCTTGTAATATATGGAAGTAAAGGTCCAGCTCCCCATACCTGGTACCAGCTGTGTTGCTACCATACCCTTACACACGCAGTTTTGCAGGAGAGCACTATTTCCCCTCAGCCTTTTCTGCCTACACCACTTCCCACTTCTTCTGTGCCAACATTCTCCCACTTGGTTACATATCAGCCTATCAGTAATGTAAGACAGCTTTGTGTAATAGTTAAGAGCTCACAGACTCTGGACCCAGACCGCCTGTATCTGAACCCCAGCTCTGTCACTTACTAGCAATGTGACCTTGGACAAATTATTTCATCTCTCTGGACCTCAGCTGTCCCATCTGTAAAATGGGGAGAATAAGAGTGTATCTTCTACCTCATCAGGTTATTGTAAGATTTAAATAATATTAGTGTTTAGTCCTTGGCACATTGTGATATGTAAAAGTTTGCTGTTGCAGTAAGTATTAGTATTAGAAGTGGTATAATTACATGACCAGTCACTCCTTGTAGTGCTCCTAGATTCCTTTGGACTCAACAGTGGTTAGAAAGAGCTCTAAGTTTAGGTTTCTAGCATGGAGAAAGGTTTCAGGGTGAGGGTGCCTAGAAGGAGTGACTAGTTGGGGTTTTTGTTATTGTTGTTGTCGTTGGTTTTATTCACTGATGTATTGCAAGCACCTAAAATGGTGCCTGGCACATAATAGGTCTTCAGTAAATATTTATTGTATTAGTGAATTTTTAACCACTTTTATTCCCCCCTCAACAGGATCTTGTCTTAAAGCAAAAGAAACAGTTCTGATTCTGAAGAACGCTTCTCCCTCAGTGCTGGGGAGAGAATCAGGAGCTGTTTTCTGGGAAGCTGGGGGATGTGCCTTTGGGAGCCCGAGAGAACAGAAGGAAGATGCTCCAGACCAGTAACTATAGCCTGGTGCTCTCCCTGCAGTTCCTGCTGCTGTCCTATGACCTCTTTGTCAACTCCTTCTCGGAGTTACTCCGAATGGCTCCTGTTGTCCAGCTGGTGCTCTTCATGTGAGTTCGTTGGGTGAGACTGGACAGCTAAACCCAAGCAGTTTGAAGACCTTGACAATCATGATTTAACATTTTAAAGTTATTAATAGAAAAATATTAAGGAGAAAAAAATTTCACATTGTCCTGGGGTACATAGACATGTCACCGGTCCTCTTTTTCTATACTTCTGACAAGGGTCTGGGATACAGGGAGCAGTTCACATCAAAAGAAGGGTCAGACTGCTGACCCTATCGTTCTCTACATCTATAAGTAGAAATATTGTCTTACATTGCCATGAAAGAGGATTGCAGAATGCAGGTTAAAAGGGTAATGGTATTAATAATATACGTGAATCTCATAAGAATTAAGCTGTTGGCATTTTCCTTCACAGTAATATATAGAGACTCCATGAGGCAAATTCTAGACAGAAAACTACAGTCTTAGGCATGGTCTTCCTTCATTCAACAAGTATTCATTGGCCTGCCAGACTGTTCTAGTTATAGTGGTAAATCTGACAAGTACCTGCTCTCATGAGGTTTCCATTATATGGCGAGAGAAAAGGAATATATATATTTATTTTATTTTAAAATTTTTTCTTTATTGATTTTAGAGAGAGAGGAAGGGGAAGAGAGAGAGAGAGAAACATCAACAAGAGTGAACACCGATTGGCCGCCTCCTGCATGCCCCCGTCTGAGGATTTGGCTTACAACCTGACCAGGAACTGAACTGGTGACCTCCTGGTTCATGGGTCGATGCTCAACCACTGGACCACACCAGCTGGGCGCTATATATAGTTTTTTAAAAAATAATTTCAAATAGTAATGTCATGTAATGGATATAAAGTAGTTGGGGTGGGGAGGGAAGCGCTACTTTACGTAGTGGGGATAAAAAAAGTCTTTCTGAAGAGGGGACATTGGAACTGAGACTTGAATGGCACTAAGGCACCAGCCATGCAAAGATCAGAGAGAGTGCATTGCTACCTTGCTAGGTGAAAACATCTGATAGGACCAGGTGATGTGACTGATGGGGCTGCCATTTTCTGAATGTGAGGAGGAAACCAGCTTCTTCTCACAAGTGCCTAGGAGGTTTGTTAAGAGAGTGTCAGAGCAGGAAAGCCTTGTCTGTGGACTGCAACTCAACGGATGGGGCCAGCTTTATGTCATTTGGGGCCCAGAGTGCATGCTCCCTCGGGGGGGTTTCAGAGGACTCTGTCACGGGAAGGACAGACCTCATGGTGCTCCTTAGGACTTAGGGCCAGCTCTTGGGTCCTCACACAGGCGTTCACTGGGCTGTACTTTGTTTTATGTCTGCAGCATCCAGGATATTGCAGTCCTCTTCAACATCATCATTATTTTCCTCATGTTCTTCAACACCTTCATCTTCCAGGCTGGCCTGGTCAACCTCCTGTTCCATAAGTTCAAAGGGACCATCATCCTGACAGCTATGTACTTCGCTCTCAGCATCTTCCTTCATGTCTGGGTCATGGTAAGAGTGGAGCTGTGAATTTCTGAATCTTTAAAGGGCTAGGAATATCTTTTCTCTGAGAACACAGCATCATCCTTGTACATTGCACAGAATCATTGATAAGAAAAGGTGAAATGAATGTGGCCTGGGCTGGAGCTAGGTATGTGAGTTTCCTACGGCACTTCTGCCCAACCTTATGTGTTGAAGAACAGCCTTAACCAAGAGTCAAGGGAGATTGCTGAAAAATTCAGATCACCTTCACCCCCAAATAACTCTACTGGGGCTAAAACGGGAATTTAAATGTTTCATTACTAGCTGTTTGGGTTTGTGTTGATACAGAGTATTTATAGACCTCAGTGTTCCAAGGGAAATAGCCAAGCAAGAGTGCTGCTTGCCCTTTTGTGCTTCATGCCCTCTGCTGCAACCCATCACACTAGGAGAACCAACCTCCAAGATGCCTCTTTTTTATCCTCACCTGAGGACATTTTTTGATATTTTGTTCAGAGTGGGAAGGAGAGAGAGAGAAATATCGACGTGAAAGGGACACATCGAGTGGTTGCCACCCACACGACCCAACCAGGGCCAGGGACAAACTGCAACCAAGGTACGTGCCCTTAGCAAGAACTGAACCCGGGTCTCTCCAGACCGCAGGCCAACGCTCTAACCACTGAGCCAAACCAGCCAGGGCCAAGATGCCTCTTTGGTGCTGATAGGCCTCAGACCACATCTAGTTTTCATGGTTTCAGATTCTTTCTGCTTCACAGATTCTTCCATCTTTGGGTATTCCATGTTTTTCAAGTACTCATTTTGATGGAATGCACTAAAACCTCAGGGTTATCTAGTCATTTCTGTACTACAGCCACCTTCTCAGACTGAACCTTCCGCTAGGTTGCTCTGTGACTCCATGGAGAATAGAGCTGTGAAGAAAGGGGAGCCGTGCCAAAGCCTCCAGGTCAGCAGTCGCAACCTAGGGCCGCAACCCCTTTGGGGGTCCAATGACCCTTTCACAGGGGTCACCTAAGACCATCGGAAAACACATATTTCCAATGGTGATTCAGAACAGTAGCAAAATTACAGTTATGAAGTAGCAACAAAAATAATTGTATGGTTGGGGGTCACCACAACATGAGGAACTGTATGAAAGGGTCACGGCATTAGGGAGGCTGAGAGCCACTGCTCTAGGTGCTTCCTAAAGATTGTCTCTGCTCTGGTTCCTGGAGCCAAAATAGGTCCTGGCTTTGCACTATAAAGCTGGTAATCTGATTAAACCCTCAGTCCATTGAGCCTTTATCTGACAGGAGCTGAGTCTGAGATTTTCAAGGCAAGATAGTGACCAAGAGGAACTGAGATAATGTGTATCATTTCTCTTTGGCTGAGGCTATGGAGTAAAAGGTAATAAATAGCTTAGTTCAAACTTCCTCACTCAAGGTTAAAAGGGTATTTACTTTACAGCAAAAAAGGGAGCTTGAGGCACCATCGAGAAACAAAACTTAGGGCTATGGGAAGAAAGAGGGGTAAGAGCCTGATTTTAAACCAAGTGGCATCTCTACAGCTAACCCAGTTGGAAATGTTAGGGCCTCACCTGGCCATTAACCTTTCTTATTGTCTACTGTGTCTCCTTCAGAACTTACGCTGGAAGGACTCTAACCGCTTTGTCTGGACAGATGGACTTCAAACGCTGTTTGTATTCCAGAGGCTAGGTAAGGACCAAGCAACCTCAGGCCTCACTGTGGTCACACCTATGGCTCTGGCGGTGAGGTCCTTGATCCTGGCTTGCCAGCCCACCACAGCTGGTAGGGGATGGGTGGAATAGCCACACCTAGAACAGGAAGGATTACTGCCCTCTGCCTTGCTGGGAGAGTCACTGAGAAATCTTGAGACAGGGACCCTCAGCCTCCTTAGGTTATATTCTGAGCTGAAACAAATACTCAGGAGCATCCCTGCGGTTTCTTTTCTGCTTATTATTCACAGCGGCAGTGTTATACTGTTATTTCTACAAACGGACAGCTGTAAGACTGGGCGATCCTCGCTTCTACCAGGACTCTGTGTGGCTGCGCAAGGAGTTCATGCAAACCCGAAGGTGACTTACACACTGATGGTGCCTTTCCTTCCTGACAGCAGCCACGTTTGCGGCTCTGCAAGGGGGAAGTTGGCCCTATGCACCAGAAAGCAGCTTGACTTTCCCAGGACAGGCTCTGGCCAGTTGTGTTCAGCAGCCAAGAAGCAAGACACCCCTCTTGCAAATTAAAGTGTTCCCAATACAGACTCCAGAACATACATAATCCCGTCCTGGCCTCCTGTCTCAGTTTTGCCCCCTTTCCTTTCTGCCCCACCTTCCTCACAGGGCTTCTTGGCTTTTATCCTTGGGGAGCTTCCCACTTAGCCTGGTACAGGCGCTCCCAGCATCTATGATTCTTGCACCACAAACTGAGGACCAAGTGATACAAAGAGGGATGTTTCTGTGCTCCTGACAGCACACCTTGGACATTTAGATTTTATACCTAAGACACTCTTTTTTTTACATTTTATAAATAGGAAATAAATTGAATTTTTCCATAAATGGTGGAGTCCATCTATCTCGATTGCTTCGTGGTTAAAAGGAATGCCAAGTCCCATTGAGAAGATTGAGCCCCAGAGCATAAAATGTATTGAGATAAAAAGATAATAAAATGTATTGAGTCTCATTATGAGTACAAGATATTTTTGCAGAAATTCAAGATGTAATCTGATGCCCCATTCCCACCCTTGGAGTTCCAGATTTCTGTGCCTTATTCAGACTCTGTCCCCTCATCAGAGCCCTAAACTGCCCTCAGAAGAATAAAAATGTTCCTTAGCCTTCAGCAAAAGAAATTTTTTAAATTCATGTGCCCATAATATCAGTTCTCTATTGCCAGAATAACCTGTGACAAACCACCAGACTTCAGTGGCATATAACAATAAGCAGTTACGCGGCTCTTGAGTCTTGGGTTCAGGTGATCTGGCTGGGTTTGGGCGATTTGTGCTAGGCTTGCTCATGTGTCTGTGGTCAGCTGTGGGTCAGCCAGGCAGCTGTCATGATCTTGGGACCCTTGGCTCTTGGCTAACCTAGGCTGGCCTCAGCTATAATGACTGGCTGTTCAGCTCAGATTCACATGACCCATCCATGACTAGGCTGGGTTTGTTCATGTGATAGTGGCGGAGGAGCAGGAGAACAAGCCCCAGTGTGCAATTCCATTTCAAGCCTCTGCGTGTATTGTGTCTCTTAGACTCCCATTGATCAAAGCAGGTCATGTGACTGTGCCCAGAGTCAGAGTGAGAAAGCAAAGCACTAAAAAGTTTCCTGGTCTTGCCCTGGACGGTTTGGCTCAGCGGTTAGAACGTCGGCCTGCAGTCCAGGGAGACCTGCGTTCGGTTCCCGCTAAGGGCGCATACCTCGGTTGCGGTTTGTCCCCAGCCCTGGTTGGTCATGCGGGTGGCAGCCACTCGATATGTCCCTTTCACGTTGATGTTTCTCTCTCTCTCTCTTCCTCTCTCTCTCTCCCACTCTATCTGAACAAAAAATGGAAAAATGTCCTCGGGTGAGGATTAAAAAAAAAAAGTTTCCTGGTCTTCTGCACAGCAAAAGAAACAAGCATCAAAATGGAAAGAGTACCCACTGTATGGGAGAGCATAATCACCAATGATACATCCGATAAGGGGTTAATTTCCAAAGTATATGGAGTATTCATACAACTCAACAGGAAGACAGACAATCCAATTAAAAGATGGGCAGAGGACCTAAATAGACACCTCTCCAAACAGGACATACAAATGGCCAAGACACATGAAGAAATGCTCAACATCACTAATCATCGGAGATGCAAATTAAAACGACTATGAGGTATCACCTCACACCTATCAGAATGGCTGCCATTGACAAATCATCAAACAACAAGTGCTGGTGAGGGTGTGGAGAAAAGGGGACTCTAGTACACTGCCACTATGGAAAACAATATGGTGTTTCCTCAAAAAATTATAAATTGGCCTTCGCTGGATTGGCTCAGCGGTTTGGCCTGCAGACCAAAGAGTCATGGGTTCGATTCCTGTCAAGGGCACGTACCTTGGTTGTGGTTTGGTCCCTGGCTCTGCTTGGGGTTATGTGGGAGGCAACCAATCTGTGGGTCTCTCACATCGATGTTTCTCTATCCCTCCCACTCTGTCTGAAAATAAATGGAAAAATATCCTCAGAAGAGGATTAAAAAAATTTTTTTTAAATTAAAAATTGAACTGCCATTTGACCCAGTGATCCCACTTCTAGGAATGTATCCTAAGAAGCCTGAAACACCAATCAGAATATATGCACTCCTATGTTCATAGTAGCACTATTTACAATAGCTAAGATCTGGAAACAGCCCAAGTGCCCATCAGTAGATGAGTGGATAAAAAGGCTGTGGTACATTAACACAATGGAGTACTACACAGCTGTAGGAAAGAAAGATCTCTTACCCTTTGAGACAACATGGAGGAACCTGGAGAGTATTATGCTAAGTGAAATAAGCCAATCAGAGAAAGGCAAATATCACATGATCTCACTTAAACCAAAGAACTTATATGCATGTAAGCATAACCAATGGACACAGACAACAATACTGTGAAGGGGGGTGGGACCACGGAGGAGGGTGTCAATGGGGGAAAAAGGAACATCTGTAACAAAAATAAATTAAAAAATAAAGCCCAGCCGATGTGGCTCAATGGTTGAGTGTTGACCTATGCAACATGAGGTTGCCAGTTTGATTCCCAGTCTGGGCATATGACCAGGTTGTGGGTCAAATCCCCGGTGGAGGGCATGCAGGAGGCAGCCAATCAATGTTCTCTCTCATCAATGTTTCTAACTCTCCCTCTCCCTTCCTCTCTCTCTAAAAAAAATTAATAAAGAAAAAAAAATTAAAAATAAATAGTTTCTTGGTAAAAGGCATGGATACAGGAAGGGCCATGATTGTCAGTCTGCCTCACCAGAAAGTTGCTCTATGAACATTGTTATTCATAGGCACTTTAGCACAAGGGTTGACAAACGTTTTCTGTGGAGGCCAGAGAGTGAATATTTCAGATCTTGAGGGCCATATGGTCTGTTGCAACTACTCGACATTATAGCATGAAAGCAGCCATAGATGATACGTAAACAAATGAACACAGCTTAGGACACTGAAATTTGAATTTCATATTTTCATGTGTTGTAAAATAATTTTTCAACAATGTAAAAGGTCATTCTATTCTTAGCTTGAGGATACAAAGCAGGCTAATTCCAGCTCAGGTACTAAAACAGGCTAGATTTGCCCTAGGCCACAGTGTGCTGACCCCTGGTTTGGAAGCTTAGAATAAAGTTCTGGGGAAAGAGAGATCATAGATATTAATTTGCTGTGCTGTCAAGATTTTAACAGGTATTTAAAAAGAAAAGGTACACTCTGGCCCGTGTGGTTCAGTTGGTTGAGCATCATCCCATGCTCCAAGAGGTTACCAGTTCAATTCCAGGTAAGGGTACATGCCTAAATTTCTGGCTTAATTCTAGTAGGGGGTGTGCAGGAGACAGTGTTCAGGAGAGAGCCAATCAGTGTTTCTCTCACGCTCTCTCTAAAATCAATAAAAACATTTTAAAAGAAAAGATACAATGTTCAAATAAAATATCTAAGATCCATATCCTATAATCAGAACAAGTGATCTAAAAAGGCCTAACAAAACCACCATCTATACCTACTATCCCTTCATCTAAAGACAGGTAATAGCTGATCTTTTCATAAAGGATCTCGCAGAAGTATTATAATCCCCTTTGCTCACTAATATCCCAAAAAGCAATTTCTCTGTGCCTCCAAATAGGGCTAGATCGGTCTCTGCTGTTGTGAAGCTAGCGCATACAACCTAATGCTTGTTTCCTCACATGTATGGCACTTTGTGGCCCTGTGAGTCTCTGAGATATGCGTGTGTGTATGTTTATTTTCCTTCATCACCCAGACAGAGGGTTGCAGCCAGGAAACAGAGAAGTCAGCTGAGCTTTATGGTCTCACATTGCTGGAGGAACAAAGTTGGGAACCAGAGGAGCCTTAAACACATAACGTGATTTCTCATCAAGATGTTTACCAAATTCTGAAGCTGTGTGGGGACACAGGCTATAAAAAGCTAAGCCTCAAACCTCTGAAAAGCAGAACAACATTTTTGACAGGCTTATTGTGCTGATGATTAGAATTCAGGAACTGCCAGGGTTGGGGATTGGTGAATACACGGCTTTCAGTTGAAAACTCAGGAGGGCTCCTTACTAGGAACAAGATGAAACAGGTTGACTGAGGTTTACCAAAATCATAGTGCAGCGTCAAACCATATAGTCCCTGAGTGGGCTAAAGTAATCAGCCCCTATTCTGTCTACCTAGCAGAGGAAAGAGTGGAAGAAAAACATCTAGAGGCACTATAATTTTTTTCCCCTTTATTGATTTGAGAGAGAGAGAGAGAGAGAGAGACAAAGGGAGAGGGAGAGATAGAAACATCAATGAGAGAGAAAGAACATCGATTGGCCGCCTCCTGCATGCTCCTCACTGGGGATCGGGCCCACAACCTGGGCCTGTGCCCTGACTGGGAATCGAATTGGCAACCTCTTGGTGCGTGGGTCAATGCTCAACCACTGAGCCACACCAGCCAGGTGGCACTATAATTTTTTATACACAGTTTCTGGATATAATAAAAATCACTAGCAAGTCAAGAGACAGGACCATATTATTTAAAAGAAAATAGAAATAGGTATTCCAAATATTAGAGAAAGCAGATAAAGAGTTTAAAGTATGATTGATACGCTCAGGAAATAGAGGGAAATACGGAGGAAATAAAACATTTAAAATACATCTAAGGACTTCTAATAGTGGCTGAGTAAGATCCTATGAGAATGGGCCCTCCACAAATAACAACTGTAAAATCTGGACATAATACAAAAAACAGCTACTTGAAGACACTGGAGAACAAGGGAAGCAAACGTGTGATGGGGAGTCCACACTCACACGAGAATTCTGCAGAGAAAATTCCCTTGTTTCAATGCTGGTAACTTGGCAGCAGGCAAAGTGGGATGCAGGATTTGCTGGTGGAAAATCACAGTACTAGAGTCCTGAGCCAGGACAACTCCAGCCACTGGCGAGAAAAATGGGGATCTGAGAAGGGAAAGAACCAAAGAGAAGGAAATCCCCCAAATCTGTACGCCCACATCTCTGCCCAAGCTCTGGCCCACGTATATGCAATTCAGGCTCAAGGCAGCTCAGCTAAAGACAAGATCTAAACTGAGATTGGAGCTCACCCAATAAGTGTAATTTGCATCATGTATCCAACCAAGCTAATTGTGTGATAAAATAAAAGAACTATCTTTGGAGACTATAGAAACCACATTCAAAACTGACACTAACACTGAGATGATCCAGATATCAGCATTAACAAACAGGATATTAAAGCAGCAATGAAAATATGCTCTCAGTGAAAAAAAAGATAAGCTATTTCAGCATATAAAGAAATAATTTTTGAAAAACAAAAATTCTAGAAATAAATTACAGTCACTGAACATTTAATCAGTCAATTAATTTTTAAATATGCTTCTATTGATTTGAGAGAGAGGAAGGGAGAGGGAGAGGGAGAGAAATATGGATGTGAGAGAGAAACATCGACTAGGAGCGAACCAGTGACCTTTAGGTGCATAGGACAACTCTCAACCAACTGAGCCACACTAGCCAGGGCAGTAACTGAACATTTTTAAACGGTTGGATTTAACAGGAAAAGAGGAGATAACAGAATGAGTCAATAAACTAGAAGATAAACCAACAGAAAATTCCCAAACTGAAAAATGGGAGGAAAATGTTTTTTAAAGTCTCATGACTAGTTTGATAATAACAGTCTAACATATAAGTAATTGGAGTCCGGGAAGGAAAAGAGAAGGAATACAGGAGAAAAAATATTTTTAAATATTTAAAGAAATAGCCAAAAATTTCCCAAATTTGATGAAAGAAGGAAATTTATAGATTTAAGAAACTCCACAAACCCACCTTAATTTTAAAAAAAGAAAGGCCATACCTATGCACATCACAGTCAAATTATTGAAAGCTAAAGATGAAGAGCAGCCCTGGCCAGTTTGGCCCAGCGGTTAGAGCGTCAGCCTGCGGTCCAGAGAGACGGGGTTCGGTTCCTGCTAAGGGCATGTACCTCAGTTGCGGTTTGTCCCCGGCCCTGGTTGGGTCGTGCGGGTGGCAACCACTCGATGTGTCCCTTTCACATCGATGTTTCTCTCTCTCTCTCTCTCTCCTTCCTACTCTATCTGAACAAAAAAAAAAAAAAGGGAAAAATGTCCTTGAGTGAGGATTAAAAAAAAAAAAAGATGAGCAAATCTGGAAAGCAACAACACAGAGGGGCAAAAATTAACAGCTGACTTCTCACTACAAATCAGAATTACTTACCAACAAGCTGCACTGTAAGAAATGCTGAAGAAATTCTTTGGCTGAAAGGCAAATGATAACAGATAGAAACTCAGATCCTCGGAAATGAATGGAGAACATCAGAAATGGTATCTAGGTTGATATAAAGACTATTTTTAATTGTTCTTTTTTCCTATTTCTTTGTAATACATATGAATGTAAAATGCACATTTTTTTTCAAGTTCACAGAGTATTGACCAATATTTACCATATGCTGGGCCATAAAAAAACAATTTTCAAAAAATTTAAATTAATTACAAAAGATAGAGAGTGTGTGTTAACAGTGGAACTGAGTTAGAAATCAGTATCAGTAAGATAACTAGGGCCCTGGCTGGTTTGGCTCAGCAGTTAGAGCGTCGGCCTACGGTCCAGAGAGACCTGGGTTCAGTTCCCGCTAGGGGCGCATATCTCAGTGGCGGTTTGTCCCTGGCCCTGGTTGGGTCGTGTGGGTGGCAGCCACTCTATGTGTACCCTTCATGTTGATGTTTCTCTCCCTCTCACTCTATCTAAACAAAAAATGGAAAAGTGTCCTTGGGTGAAGATAAAAGAAAAAGATAACTAGGTGGTTCAGTCTAGGTCCAGCCACAAGACAGAAAGCACACAGTATTTAAACATGGCAAAGTTAATATAAAGAATCATTAAAATAATCATAAGAGGAACTATAAAACAGAAAGAGAACTCTAAAAGGGTACTTCAGGACTGAGAGATTATCTAAGGAAGGACACACTTGGCAGGGTTCCCCACCCTCAAGGCTGAGGTTCAGACCTCACTGCGGCCAACTGGGTGGTGGACACGGTCACCAGTTTTCCCAAGCAAGAAATAACTCTCCAGGATGCAGGCAAATTGAGACTGGTGGGCAGGTGTGCAGGGAGCATAGGGACACCACCTGTAGGCACTTATCCACATTGGGAGGACCCCAGTAAACAACCCTTCTCAGCACAGGTGAGCCAAGGCTAGTGGGCAGGTGCACCAAAAGAGTTGGAGCTGTGTGTGCAGGAGGACTGGAGTGTGTGATGTCCATACAAGGCATGGAGGGTCATGGGAACCGACCCTCTGGAGAGAGGAGCCAAGGTTGATGAGCTGAGGGAGGGAGCTGGGGCACTGCTCTGGGTACATGGTGTTCATGCCTTGAGGGCTTTGGGGAAAGCTGTCCAAGGGGTCGGTGCGCTGAGTGAGGGAGTTGTGTTCCTATGGGTACAAGACCTGGAGTATGCACTATCCTTGACAGGAGGACCCACAGCAAAGTGGTCACTGGGCCTGGACCAGTTCTGGGAGGCTGTGGAGGGAGTGCCCGCTCTCGGTGTGCTGCTGAGCAGAGCACCACCTGATGTCCCCATGCACTTGCACTGCTGAGAGATCATGGTACAGGAGCGAGGAAAAGGAAACCAGAGTTCACTGGAGTCAGGAAGACAAGCCCTTTCCTTCCTTCAATGTCCCTCTGGTGCCCTCTGCTGACAAAGCTTGCCATCATGCTCACTGTAAGGGAGAAATGCTGAGTCCAGTCCATTATCACAGAACAGGTACTGAAGGGTCAATGTGGAGCTAAGAGCAAAAAACAAACACCATAACAGAGTCCTTCTTTTTGCCTACTCAGCTTCCATATGCACCGCTCTACACTTACTTCACCTTCCCTAGTAATGGTATTTCTACTAACAAGATACAGCTATCCTTAAAAGTGCCCTTCTCACCCTTACCCCAAATGAGAAGACATACAAATTACTCTCCAGGTTCAGGGAATTGCTTCTGCTCCTTCCCCTTTGCATACCAAGCACCAATTACTGCCCCACCTCCACCCCAGCTAACTAGGAGTACACAGCACTGTCCTTAAAGGTTAGTCACTCTACTCAAATTACCTGGTTTGAGTTTGACATCTGTTTCCTGTCCTACCCTGACCGACAACGGGCTAACAGACAAGTCAGCCGAGTCCACTCAAAATCCGTTTTCTTTCTACCGCCAGCGGATAATACCCATTATTGCTTGAAATCGTATTCGGGCTTCGAAACTCAGTTTACAGACCATGTCTTGGAAAGGTCTCTCAGTTCCCGCCGGAGGACTTAGTCCTCTCCATTACCCCAGCATGTTTGTTATGGGTCGCGTGCTAATCACTCTTCATCGTCACCCCTTCAGCTTTGGGCTCCTTCCAGGGAGCCTCTGGTTCTGACTCATCCTGGTGCCTCACAATGGCGGGTACTTAAATCTGACACACAAACCCCTGGCCCCTGAAAGACGCCTGCTGGACAAACCCCTGCCCCGCATTTGCAGAGCACCGTCGCGCGCGGTTGTCAGAAAACAATCGTGGGGCCGATGTGCCAGTCCTGGGCTCACGTTGCCACAACTGGCCACTTCTGCCAACACGTTGTAACCGGGGGTGGGGGAGCCCGAGGGCTGCCCCTGGCCCAGGCTCCGGCGGCCGACTGCGGGCACGACACGGTTCGCCCCAAGCCTCGGCGAGCCGAAAACCCCAGCGGAGGCCGTCCGCGGGCCGCGCTCCTCCCAGACATGCGCAGACCTCCCGGTCCCGCTAACCATAGAGTGCCGCGGCGGGCAGAGGGGCCAGGAGCTGGGGCCGCTCAGCCCTCGCTTCCGGCGGCACCTCACTGCTCCGGGAGCGGCTGCAGCCGCGTACGCAGTTTCCATGGGGACTGAGGATGGCGCCGCGAGGTGAGATTCTGGAGGTGTGTGAGTCGCTTCCCGATCCCTCCAGTCCCCATTCTCTCCCAGAGCTCGACCCAAACCCTCCATTCTCGGGTGTTAGTGACATCGCTCCTCACTTGTCCAAAGGGGGTTTTCTCGTCCCCTCCCCCCCATCCTGAGCGCCTGAAGGTCGGCAGGTGAGGATCTTTCAGATACCCCCAAATCCTTGGCTGGGCCTATTCCAGGCCGGCTCAGTGACGAATTAGCCTGCCCTGTGACCTCGAAGAAGCCAGGGCTGGTTTCTGCTCCCCAGTTTCCCCTCCCAAATAGTGACGGGGTTAGATCTTAGAGGGGCCTTGATTTTGACCCCTGAAGCCGAAAGAGTCGAGTTTGACGGTGATTCCGGGAAAAGAACGGGATTGAATGGAGCCCCCTCCACATCCTATACTCACACACACCCCTCATTACCAGAAAACCAGAAGTGCCCCAAGCGGCCCTTCTCACTGGCTGCGACCTCGTGTTTTCTCCAAATTAGACACAGACCTTCAGAGAGATTGTGCTGCCCTCCCGCTCATCCCTCTTCTCTGTGCCCATCTTTTCAGGTAAACGGTTGTCCTCCACCCCCCTGGAAATCCTGTTCTTTCTGAACGGGTGGTATTATGCTACCTATTTCCTACTGGAACTGTTCATATTTCTGTATAAAGGTAAGGTATGGAGCTTGACTACCCTGGTCCCCAAACCCCTTCCCCACTTCAGCCCCCTTCTTTTCTGCAGCTACTCTTCACTGGAAAGAAAGGCATGGCTTCCTGGAGAATGATTCAGTAGGAAGCCTCTCAGCAAGAATTTAGGGCCCTGGCTGGATAGGTCAGTTGGTTAAAGCATCATTATGAAATGCCAAGGTTGCAGGTTTGATTTCCAGTCAGGGCACATACAAGAATCAACCAATGAATGCATAAATAAGTAGAACAACAAATCTCTTTCTACCCCTTCCTCTCTAAAATCAGTTAATAAATTAAAATAAAAAAGAAAGAATTTGAGTCTGGGAATGTGGGCTCCTCCATTCTGACTGCCCTGCCCCCCACGTCTCTTTGTGAACTCCACTTTAAATTTAAGCCCATTGGTGACCCTCAGAACTATTCAGCAGCCTCTGTACCCATGCACATCTGATTATGTTGGAGAGTGGAGTCCCACAGACTTTTGGAGTTGGGAATGAAACCCCATAATAATGAAGAGCCTGCTCCTAACAGACATAGTTGTACTATGAGTTTACCTATCCTGCAGCAGGTTAACAGATCCTGCCCATATCTCACTAACCAGCTCATGGAAAGCAGATAAGACTCTTGTCCTCTTTCTTCCCATGTGTGTGGGAGTTCTAGTGGGTGCTGTCATATGTTGTTTGCAAACTCTGGCTTTTGTACTGGCAGGTCTCCTGCTACCATATCCAATAGCCAACCTAGTACTCGATGTGGTGATGCTCCTCCTTTACCTCGGAATTGAAGTGATTCGACTCTTTTTTGGTGAGTGTTGTCCAGAGGACATTTCCATTCCTTATGAGATGAGCTGGTATCTGTAACTTGATTAACAAGAAAAAGTACATAATCTAGGCTTACAAGAAGAGATGGGATCTGGTGGCATATCCCATTACTCCCTTTCTGAAGTTTCAAACTGCATTATGTTTTGGGTCAAGACTTACTTGTCTGCCGCTCTGTAGTGCTAGACATGGGCAGTAGCATGAGATAGTAGAAAATTCCTTCCCAGTTGCCTAACTACCATAAAAGTGCCTGGTTCCTCTCAATGGTTGCTTGGGGGGATAGATTCAGCTGTAACTCCATGTCCAGGACAGTATGTGCCTGCACAGACCAGCACTAAGTTCCCCTCCACTTCTCTGAACAAGACTTTCTTTAGGACAAGCTTTATATCCCCAGAAATACAAAGCAAATCTCTTATGAGTTAGAATAGCTCATCTTTGAAAGCCGTGTTAAAACACAAACAAAATAAATGCTTGCAATATATATAACAAAAAATAATTTGCAGGCTCACATAAATCACTAAGGAAAAAACAACCTAATTTTGTTTAGTTGATTTCAGAGAGAGGAAGAGAGAAACATTGATGTGAAAAACATTGATCAGTTGCCTCTGGCATGCACCCTGATGGAGATTGATCCCCCAGCCTGCATACGTGCCCTGACCAGAATCGAACCTGCCACCTTTCAGTGTACGGGACGACGCTCCAAGCAAGCCACAGCAGACATGGCAAAGACAACCTAATTTTAAAAATTGGGAAAGGAACCCTGGCCGGTTTGCCGCAGCAGTTGGAGCATCAGCTTGTGGACCAGAGAGTCCTGGGTTTGGTTCCCACTAGGGGCACGTACCAAAAAAAAATTGGGAATGGACACTGACAGGCAATGAACAATAATAATTACAGAGAACCAATAAACATGACAAAATGCCCAAACTCACTAATAAAAGTAAGGTGAAACAACAAGAGAACATTTTCACCCATCTGATTAAAAAGATTCCCAATACCCAATATGAGAGTAGGTGTGAAGAAGAGGTCCCTGTAGTCCCACACTCTCGTGGGTATTTATATTCTCAGACTCTTTGGGAATATAAATTAGTATATCCTTTTTGCTAATAGTTTTATCATGCAAAATTTGTATTCTTAGACCTAACACCTTCACTTCTAAAACTGGTTAAAAAAAACAAACACTTCCATAGATATGCAGAGATCTCTAAGTGAGAATGTTTGTTGCCACATACTTTGTAACATCAAAACTAGAGATAACCTCAACATCTATTAATACAGGATTAATTAAATAAATTACAGCCCTGGCCAGTTTGGCTCAGTGGCTAGAGTGTTAGCCCACAGATTGAAAGGTCACAGGTTTGATCCCCAGTGAAGGGCACATACCTGGGTTGCAGGTTTGATCCCCAGCCCTGGTGCAAGAGGCAACCAGTCAATGTGTCTCTCTCTCACATCAGTGTTTCTCCCCCGACCCCCTTCCCTCTCTTCCACTCTATCTAAAAATCAGTGGAAAAATATCTTCAGGTGAGAATTAACAACAAAATAATAAAATAAAACAAAAATAATGCCCTGGCTGGTTTGGCTGAGTGGTTAGAGGATCAGCCCGTGGACCAGTGTGTTGCGGGTTTGATTCCAGTCAAGGGCATGTACCTCAGTTGCGGTTCGTCCCCCGCCCTGGTTGGTTGTGCAGGAGGCAACCAGTCGATGTATCTCTCTCACATTGATGTTTCTTTCTCTCTTCCTCTCTCCCTCTCTCTTCCTCCCTCCCACTCTATCTGAAGATAAATAGAAAAGTATCTTCTTGTGAGGATTTTTATATATATATATATATATATATATACACACACACACACACATACATATATATAATAAAAATAAATGAATTACAGAATTAGTTCAATGAAACCATTCATAACTATTAAAAAAGAATAAGGCAGTTACATGTGGAGAGATATCTAACATATTAAGTAGGAAAAAGTAAGTTGCAAGAGTATGAAATGATAAATTGTAACATGTGAGTATACATACATAAAAAATCTGAAATAATATACATCTAATAACAGCTTTCTCCAGGGAATGAGCATGGCTCTTCCAGTTTTTATATTTTCTAAAATCATTTTCTATATTAGTTGAAAAGTTTTCAGTGATTATATGTTACTTTTATAATTTAAAAATAGGTCCCCCCTATGAAGATCCCAGTGTCCCTTGATTGGGAGCCATACTGGAAGCAGGCTCCAATCCTTAACTCTTCCAAAGCCTCTCATTCTTAGTACAGTGGGACCCCATTTATAGGTCTGCACGTCCCCCTTCAGGATCACTTCCTCTGCTTGCTAGTCCATCACATCCCACCCACCTTTCCTCTGAGGCCAGGGGAAGCAGGCCACTTGGAGATGACTCCATGGGCTGTGTCTCACAGGTACAAAGGGAAACCTCTGCCAACGAAAGATGCCACTTGCTATTAGTGTGGCCTTGACCTTCCCATCTGCCGTGATGGCCTCCTATTACCTGCTGCTGCAGACCTACGTGCTTCGCCTGGAAGCCATCATGAACGGCATCTTGCTCTTCTTCTGTGGCTCAGAGCTGCTGCTTGAGGTGCTCACCCTGGTCGCTTTCTCCAGGTACTGCTGCGGAGGGACCATTCCCATCACCTGAGGGCTGGGTTCCCGTCCCATCCTAGGGAGGGATTCATTCTTCTGAAGCCTGCGGGGTCTAGTAGACTTGGAAGGGGCAGACGGTGTCTGGGACTGCCTTTCCCATGTAGGGTAGACAGTTACCCACTTAGGGAAGCTATTCTTGTTCCCTGGGGCCAGGAGGCTTGGAATATAGAACAGTTCAGGCCAGCTGCTCTTATTCACTGGGCTTTTAACATTTTCTTTCTTTCTGTCATCAGTATGGACAAGATTTGAAGTACAGAAATGTCAGCCAGCAGCCCTCTGTGGCTGAGACCACTCATACTTCTGGTACTTTAGCCACACCAGTGAGAAATCTGGGTCACCTGGTCCTGGGGGAAGTTGCAGCTTTTCCTCAGCACAGATGTTTTGGGCAACAACCCAAGCGTAAGGCCACCGGGCACCATCTTCTAAATAGGACCATCAGCCTGAGAGACTCTTCTACACTCCAGTATAGGGAGGGGCACGGCTGTCCCCCTCCTGGCCATTCTCAGAACCCATTCCCTGCTGACCTCAGTTCTCCTCTTTGATCATCGTGGCCAGAGCATCTGTGTGGACCATGTGGGCGCCTTGGGCTCCCGGCAGGACCTGAGCCACACCCCCTGTACCCCGTACACGCTGTGCCACACCTGTCACGCAGGAGCACCGAAAGCCTTGGGATGCTGTGCTCCGAGTGATGCAAACGCCGCATACCCTTACTCTTCAGAGACTGAGCTCCAGTACTTTTTTAGTAACTCATAGTGTTATTTTCCTATTCTCATCATGAAACAGACATTATTTTGTAATAAATATATATTTTCTGTTGTGCAGCCTTTTCCTTGTGGGGCCTGTCCCTAGAGATTCATCTACTCTGAGGGAAGCTAGAGCCTGTCCCAGTGGCTTGTTCTCAGGCTGGGCTTAGTGATGCGGTGTGGACGCAAAGCCAGCGATGAGGTGTGCCACGGAATCTCTTCCCATTGCTGCAGGCACTGCCAGCTTCTCCGTCTCCTTCAGGTCTGTCAGCCTGCAAGACTGCCTCCGCTCTGCACCTGTCCCGAAGCCGGCATCTGCTCTCATTCCTCTTACAGATCATTGTCAGCGCCTTTCCAGGGTGCAATTGGAAGAAGCATATTCTAACCTCATCAATATATTTTGGTCACTTATTTTAAAATTTTGAATTAACATGAAAGGAACACATACTTTTTTATGTTTTAAGGTGGAGAAATGTTGCCCTAGATGAGTGTATCATTCTCATCTCTAAGTAATCATCTTGAAAACGTCCTCATATTGCTTGGTAGTGGCCATTTTTTTAGCCCCAAGAAGCCACCAGGAACCATGGTAGAATCCACTACTTTAGGAAACCTGAGTCAAGGGCCCTTCTGTCAGATGAATCCTGGATTATCTGCACTACTCAAAGTAAAAAATAATTGGCCGTTAAACATTCCATGCTTGTTTTTAAAAATATATATGTTTTTATTGATTTTTTTTAGAAAGAGGAAGGGAGAGAGAGAGAAACATCACTTGGCTGCCTCCTGCATGCTCCCTTACTGGGGGTCGAGCCCGCAATCTGGGCATGTGCCCTGACCGGGAATTGAACTGGGACCTCTCAGTCAGTCCACTGAGCCACACTGGCTGGGCTCCATGCTGGTTTTTAACTACTCATTTCTGTGATCCGGCTCATTCTCATCCTTTGAAGGTCTCCACTGTCCAATGCACTGATGGTTTCCCTGGCTTTCTATCCCTTCTGTGCCCGGGCCTCCTAAATGCCTCTGGGATCTACCCAAAAATTATAGTGGACAGGTCTAATTAACCATTAAACAGTACAAGAAATCCAATAGGAACATTCCTGATATGTTCATCACAAACCCCACTAATACCCTGGTCTTCTGTTGCTTCTTGCACTGCTTCTTTCTCTGGCCCTACTTTGAAGAGATTGCTGGCATTAAACTGGGGAGGAACCTGTCATTTAGATGCAGTGGTTCTCCATCTTCCTAATGCTCGACCCTTTAATACAGTTCCTCATGTGGTGACCCCCAACCATGAAATTATTTTCATTGCTACTTTATAACTGCAATTTTGCTACTGTTATGTCTTAGGCAACCTCTGTGAAAGGGTCGTTCAACCCCCAAAGCGGTCGCGACCCACAGGTTGAGAACTGATGATCAGTGGTTAACGTCACCTTCCAGCCAAAAAAGATAAATGAATGGAAGGCTCAGTTGGAAGTTTAGAGGTAGCTTGTAATTCAAAGGGACTTTAGAGATCAGTTTTTTTTTTTTTTTTTTTAAAGAATAGTTTATTGATTTTTAGAGAAACATCAATGTAAGAGTAACATGGATTGGCTGCCTCCTGCACACTCCATTGGGGATCAAGCCCACAACCCAGGTATGTGCCCTGACTGGGAACTGAACCAGCAACCTTTCAGTGTGAAGATGATGCCCAGCCAAGCCACACTGGCCTGAGGTAGAGATCAATTTTTAACCTAATCTGCCACTTTGCAGACTTAAAAAAATGAGTAAGTAATGTAGCCGACTATCGTACAACAGGTTACAAAAAGCTGGAACTAGAAACCTTATGAATTTCAGTCTGAATTAAGTAAATTTCACTCCTCAACAGATACCACCTGAGGATGAGAATGAATAGTTGAAATGAGGATAGGATTAGAACAAGAAGTCCCCTCATTTATTTCATGGTTGTCTGGAAGCTTAGTGCATTGTGTTTCCTGTGGATGGCTCCATAAATGTTCATTCTTCCTGATGCTTGTTGGAGCCACCTCTGAGGACTGTCAGAGCTACAACAGAAACAGGCAGCAGAGGACAAGAATCAGCACAGCTAGTCTTTCAGGGTTAATGTCGGAGGCTGTACTTGCTGGGTGCCACAGGAAGCCATTTCATAGTCCACCCAGACCTGTAGGCACCAGCATTCCGAGACGGAGGCGAGGACTGAGAAAGGAGCGGGCCTGTCACACGAGCTGGCAGAGGCCTGCTCAGACATTCACACACATGGCTGGAACTGTCAAGTGATGAATGCATGGCCATCTCTTGAGGCTGAGGTCTGGCCACATTCAGGAAGCACTTAGGACGCACAGATTCAGGTTTCTGGCTCTGTGGCAGCAACTTAGAGGGAACTAATGTTCATCCAGTTTCCGGCAGACTATTTAATCCACACAATCCTGAGGCAGAGGAAATTGAGTCAGATGTTAATCAACTCGTGTTCAAAAGCATTGAGTTTAAATAGTAAGAGGTGGTCAGTCCCATTTTTGTTTTTAAACATCTTTTAAAAAAAATATTTTTATGATTTTTTTAGAGGGAGAGGAAGGGAGAGATAGAAACATTGATGTGAGACACATCCATTGGCTGCCTCGTGCGTGCCCCCTGCTGAGGATCAAGCCTGCAACCTGGGCATGTGCCCTGATCAGGAATCAAACCAGGACCTCTCAGTCCATGAGATGATGCTCAATCCACGGAGCCACACTGGCCAGGCAGTTCCTTTGTTTTTCAATCCTTACCTGGGGACGTGTGTTATTGATTTGAGAGAGAGTGGAAGGGGCAGAGAAACACCGATTGGTTGCCTCCCATATACACCCTAACCTGGATTGAATCTACAATCTAGTTATGTGCCCTGACCTGGAATTGAACTTGCAACCTTTCTGGTGTACAGGGATGATACTCCAACCAACTGAACCACCTGGTTGGGGCAAGGTCAGTTCCGCTCTATACCACCATGGGACTTCCTACATGAAATTGAAGACTGTTTTTACTTCTCTAAACTAGCAGTCCTCACACTTGAGTTTACATAAAAGTCATCGGGGGCATACAAAGTAGATTTCTGGACTTTGTGTAGGTGCTGCAGCACAAGAGCAGGCAGTTTAGCAAGCATGGGAACTGAGATGCAGGTGACCATGCACCTCAACTTGAGAACACAGGCTTCAACTCTGAGGCACTCCCAACTATTTTTTTTTCCAAGTTGTAGACCCTCTAGCAAATTTCCCTTCTGCCAAAGGTTACTTTTTTGTGATTTTGCATTTACTGGTCCCAGTGCACATTATATATTATCTGGTCTCTGGTTCATCTTATGTATCTCTCCTCTTGTTCACTTGGCTTTTTTTTTTCTTCTTTTCTTTTGATTTTAGAGAGAAAGGAAGTGAGAGGGAGAGAGAGAAACACGGATGAGAGAGGACACCGATTGGCCACCTCCTGCATGCCCCACTGGGGATGGGGCCCACAACCTGGGCATGTGCCCTGACTGGGAATCGAACCAGCAACCTCTTGGTGCATGGGTCAACGCTCAACCACTGAGCCACACCAGCCAGGCTCACTTGGCTTTTTTAAAAGCCAGAAGCTTCTGGAGTCCCAAGATCACTTCTGCTTTCTAAACTGTACTTTCTCCTAGTTCAGCTTCTGAAACATGTTAATTCACCTTTATCTCTGGTTCTTAAAACATCCCTGTGTGGAAGGCAGAACAGCTATCATTTCCATCTTACAGATGAGACAGGTTCTACTGCTTGTCCGTGGTCAGATCAAAAGATGGAAGTAGGCACTAGCATTCATGACTTCTGGCTCCTAGCAGAGGAGTCTTCCTGAACTTGACATCAGGACTGAACTATACAAAGGATATTTATTCTGGGAATAAATCTTAGGAATCTTGGTAAAGATTGGCTTGGTATTTTTCTTTAACCAAACTGTTTAAAATATTTTTTACTGATTTTTTGAGAGAGGAGATAGAAACAACGATGTGAAAGAGGGACATCGATCGGCTGCCTCCTGCACGCTCCCTACTGGGGATCGAGCCTGCAACCAGGACACATGCCCTGACTGGGAACTGAATGGGGACCTCTCAGTCCAGAGGACGATGCTCAATCCAAAGCCACACCAACTGGGCTGTTTAGGTGGCTAAGGGAAAAAGCTCAACCTCAAGGAGCACATCCAAAGGTTTGCACTAGAGGCTTCCCAGGCAACTACATGCCCTACATGCAATTCCAGTGAACAACTCCGGGGTTTCACTACCATCCCGCAGCCTCTACATCAGCCCATGCCCATGCCCGACACCTCAACAAATCTATTCAATGCAGAATCCATAAAACAGCTCACACCCCATTTATTATTTAAAAATACTTTGTTACAAAAGGAAAAAAATACAATGCAGTATAAAAGATTGACAGCGTCATCAAGTTTATTACACAATTTTCAACCTATCAGAAAGACAAACAAATCACCGACAACAGGGGGACGGGGCCTTGGCCTTTGTGAGGGTTGGGTTTTTTTTTTTTTCCTTTTGCTATCAGGAAATGAAACTAAAAATTGTGTTTTTGAGTAAAAACAAAACAAAAATGGGGAGAAAAAGTTCTCCGGGTAAACGGCTTTTCTGGTATTCTATATATCTTTCCTTACACTGTCACCGTACGTGGTTTTCTCTACGTTTAAGAAGACGCCGGAGCTGCTCTCGAGGACAAGCACATCACTTCTCACTTGGCCAGCTGGGCGGATGCCATGTTCTGAAGTGAAGGTGGGGATGGGATCTGGGACAGGGGAGAAATGAGCTACAAACCTGTAGCCTCTGTCCCAAGGGAATGTGCCTCTCCAACCCTGGGGGACACCCTCAGTGACTGACTGAGGGCTATGCCAGAAACGTGCAGGGAAGAGAGGAGGGGTTCAGTCCTACTCAGTCTCTCCCTGAGCCAGAAGGGTCTCCAACGACCCTACATCTCACATGCCACGTCTCATGTCACATGTCCGTCTCTTCTCATGTTAGATGTCATGTGCCCTGTAGACGCATGCACAAACAGCAGCCATCACCCCATGGGTTCTGCAGGACCCTGTTGCTGCTGCT